TGATGTGAAGGCACGGCCAACGGGGGTGATGTGAAGGCACGGCCAACGGGGGTGATGTGAAGGCACGGCCAACGGGGGTGATGTGAAGGCACGGCCAACGGGGGTGATGTGAAGGCACGGCCAACGGGGGTGATGTGAAGGCACGGCCAACGGGGGTGATGTGAAGGCACGGCCAACGGGGGTGATGTGAAGGCACGGCCAACGGGGGTGATGTGAAGGCACGGCCAACGGGGGTGATGTGAAGGCACGGCCAACGGGGGTGATGTGAAGGCACGGCCAACGGGGGTGATGTGAAGGCCTGAGATGTAAAGGGGTTGGGTTTTTTTCCCCCCCAAGTGGTAGGGGGGGGGGGGGGGGGGGGACGGAGGACACTGATGTAGGAACGCTATTGTGATAGAAGGGGGTGTGATATGAAAGATCATGTGATTCAGACCTCTGCTGAAAGAAATTTTTCAATGATCGGACTGCCATCATTTTTAATTCAATACCCCTGCTATGGCTTTTAGATCTGTTGTGGCTGCCGCTCTCACTGATGGATTTAAAATAAATAAAAAAAAAAAAAAAAATTTTTTTTTTTTTAAGTGTCACAACTAAAAACTACCTAAAGAGGTCTTCCCTTTCTATGCAAAGTTAAAATAAATCAGATTACATTTAAGCTTGGCCTGGCAGCACATCAAAGGTTAAAACATACATTACTGTACATATCAGATTCAGCCACCCCGACTTTCTGAACCTGCAGCAGCCAAATGAAGCTTTATATCAAATAACTTTAACCAGTTTACCATTGCAATTGTATGCATGTTCAGCTCAATTACTTACAGCAAGAGGCAGTCTTTATTCTGCTTTTATGCAGACGTGACCCTGTAACAAAGTAATTTTTTAATCCATGTAATCTTTATATCATTGTTTTGCACTGCCGTTCTGTGAGCCAGAACTGATAAAATTGCCAAGCCCAAAGTGAAGACTTCAGCTGACCAAGAAATCTTGGCGTAAAACTATGGGGCCCATCATTAAAAATATGCACTGCAGCATTTAATTCTAAATGCATCTGTACTTACAGTCCCTGGAAAAGTCCCAAAAATATTTTGTTGAACCTGCCAATGAAGTTCACCTAATCCAACTCTGACGGGGTAGCAATGAATTTATAGCAGAGTTACCACTCATGTAGGCTGCACCTGCTGGCACTACAGTGGGGTGAAAAGATGAGACCTTTAGCTTCTAATTCATTGCGGTCAATCCATAAAGCAGTGGCCAGGACGAGGCATAGCCAGGCAATGTCTCTGCAGCTCATCAGAGGAGGGTTTTCAGCAACAGTATATGGGAGGGGAACATGTTATACAAAAATGGAGGATTTGGCTCAGTTAGGGAAGGTAAGTTTGTTTTTTTTCTCCTTTACTCGCTTCATGAGGCTTGTGAATCACATAAAAGGGCTCCTGAATACCTGGATTTGAGACTTGTCTAGGTTATACAGGAGCCCTTTCGTACTTGCCTTCTACCCCAGAGCAACTTGCTCTCCAAGTCCCAACCAAGTCACCGATTACTAATGTTGTATTTTGGCGCAGTTAGGGTGGTTCAGTGGGTGGTGGCAATCTGGAAGCGGAGCAGAATTGGGGTTTGTGTATTAAAGCATGTTTAAATTCTTACAAATTGATCTAAAGTACAAGCTAGAGGATCAATTTGTAAGAATTTAGAGGACACTTGAAAAGATCTCACTGCTGCTCCTGACCTTCAGTTGTCCTCCTCTGACCTACAACTGGCCCTCTAAGCAGCACCAAGATGCTTTTGCATTCTTGATTTCTTGGAGGGGGGGGGGGGGGGGGGGGGGGGGGGGGGGGAACAAAAACAAAAAACAAACAAAAAAAAAACGCATTTCTGAAATAAAGATCTCATTTTATGAATAAGATTGTAGAACTGCTTGACAGCCTGTTTAATAGTGAGTTTCTATTTGAAAGGCACCACCTAATTTAAATAACACAAACACAAGAGGCTGAAGTACGGCTGACTTTATTTTCAGATATTTATACAAGTTGCGCTCAGGTAAAAATATAATGCGAATACCAAATCTAGCAACACTGTACAGACACCATGAGCAGCGTACAGGCAGTAACAGTTATCAGGCAATGTCATTCTGAAACCAATTCCAGGATCCTCGTATAAGAGGAGGAGTTCTTGTTAGCTTCTGTGAGGGAGAGAAAAGAAAAGAAAAAAAAAAAAAAAAAAAAAATTAGTATTAATGGTCAGAGCAATATGCATCCACATGCGTCATAACCTCAATATAAAAAGGAGGAACGGGGCTAATCAATGGGCTGCTTCACATAGAGACTATCCTCAAGATTGTTACAGACTGTCAGGAAAGTCATGCTCAAGCCGATGCCCAAAGGAATGCCCATGCTCAAGAGAACACTCACATTCAATAGATTAGCATGCTCAAAAGGAATACGTAGAACCGTTCATATTACGGTGCACAGTATTAGGACCCTGCACGCATCTACACAAGCCTGTGCACATGCTTGTTTGATGGACTTGGTGCCCAGTGATCCATTTAAAGCCTTACAGAATTCAAGTTAATTGCCGAGTGGTTGCAGGCAGAAGAAGGCCACAACCTGGTCCTGTGTTCACCTGTATCCTGACCCAGCTCTTTGATCTTGCTTGCTCCTGAACTTCTTTTGCTGACTGACTTGTGGCCTGGCCTTGCTTCCTGCCTGCTGTTCCAATCTTCTGCTCGCTTGACGCTGGCCTTGCTCTCACTCTGCTCCTGGTTCCTGACTCTGTAGTCCTGCCTGGTTGTTGCTGACCTCTGCCTACACATCCAAGGTCCAGTATCTGCCTGCTGCCAACTGATTTGCTTCATTTCTGCATCTGCTACCAACATAATTCAAACCAGATTTCCTACAGGCATCAGTGCCACTTTCTCCTGTGGATCACCCAGTCATCCCCAGGGGAAACAGGACAAGAGGTGTAAGGGCAGTCCTCTCATCAACTCAGCCTCAACAGGTATGTGACAGTTCTAGCAGTAATGGTATAAGACATCCACTGAACTCACAAATTCATCCCTAGTACCATTTTCATAGTAAAGGGTAAGCAATGGCACAATTTTACAGTCTAACTTGACTAGAGTGCATGGTTTGGGGGTTGTCACCTTCTACATTACTGCCTAGCGAGTCCCTGACCTGGAACAAGCATATGCCAGACACCTGATCTACGCATGCATGCTCTTGGTCAGTGGTCTTATTAGTGAAAGATTATTTAAGTGACTATACCCATCAGGTTATGTTAAAGTTACAAAGTACAAGCATCTAGGAGGTTCCTAAACATACCTTTGCCTGATCAGAACAGCCCTTCTTTGGCACAATCCAGAAGTGGTAGAACTTTGGCTACTTTCACTGTTCTATTCTACCCAAAGATTGCCTGCCTTCCCATTTTTATTGGCCTAATCAGTACCACTGGCTGCATCACTGGTCCACTGGGGGCATTTTATTTTTGGCTGCTAAAGCAGTAGAAATACTTTAACTGCGTCAGGACTTTTGCATCTCCATCTTTGACTTTCCCCTCCTAACGAAGCCACCAGAGATACTGGAGCATCCTAAAAGCCTATGGGGCACACACTACACATGCACAATAGGGCATCATCAGCGTGGTGGCTGCAAGAACCCAGAAAAAAAGGACTCCTGAGGACATCAGCAAAGCAAAAGGGCATGCAGGACCTGGGCATGTGGTGGTCAACTTAGTTGATAAGCCACTGAAAGCCATCAGCTAAGAGTTAGTTACAAGTAAAATGACCCTGGTGGTAAAGCGTAAAGTCCCCATTTAAAGAAACTCTGGGCAATTTTTTTTCTCCCATGCAATGGGGGTTGTGCCCTCACTGCATGGGTTAATGGCTTGTTTTTGTCTAGAGCAGGAGAAGGCAACCTGAGAGCCGCAAAACTACAAGTTCCATCATGCCTCTGCAAGTCATAGCTGTAACTGTCAGTTTTGTAATCTTTGCAATGCCTCATGGGAAATATAGTTCAACAGCTAGAGCCGCAGGTTGCCTACCCCTGGTCTAGGGGATTGCAGAGTGAAAATATACTTGCCTAATCCGCAGATCTGAGCACAAGACTGGACCCCCACTGCTCTGGCCTCCCCTGCGCACTAGCAGTCTGGTGAATGGACTGTTCCTGAAATCATCACATAGCCTCCAAATACTAGGATGGCAGGAACAGTCCATCGCTGGACATGGGGAAGCGTGGTTTTCTGGTGAATTAAAGAATCAGGTGAGTAGAGCCTTTCAGTGCACCCCTAGACAAAATGAGCAGTTAACTCATGCAGTGCCGGTACAGCCCACTTCATGGGGGGAAAAAAAATTTTTTTTATGAAGTTCTTCAAGCTCGAAGCACAGTCCATGGGTCCAACCATGCTAGTTCCCCCTGTAGTGATAACTGAATCCCCCCCCAATAAGTCATATGTCTTCTATTCATAGATTAATTTTGATATATAGAAAAGATACTTTTACAAGTACTGGTAGTCCTGTCTAGTGATAGGCTGGTTCAAAACTCTGGGCTGATCTCTGGCATATACACAGGAATGAAAAAAATCAGAAGCTGCAAATAACCAATCTATAGAGAATCACAGAATTCATAGAAACAGGCATGGCTGAATGGCAGTACTCTCTGCAGATCAGATGTTTAGGCAAGTCAGCTACTGGAGGATCGTCAGACCCCCAATTCTGAGCATCATTGATTCACTGGTATCCTATATGACAGGACAAAATATGACCAAAAGGTGCAAGAGCAGTTTGCCTTAAAACGGCTAATGAACTGTATCCCCTTAGGCCACAACGAATACCGATTTATGCCACATGTTGCCCAACGATTGATACCAAATTATGTCCCCTTGCCCTTAAAACTAAACTGAATTGTGCCCCAATAAATTTTTTTTTTTTTTTTTTTTTTTTTTTTTTTTAAACAGTATATCCAACCATTTATGTTATTTGTTAAAAAGCATGACTTACCATATTGTTTTTATGGATGTTTTACACAGGGGTGCTCATATTCAGCATAGCCATTCTCGTCTGAGGAAGAGAAGATAGATTAAGATGGAATGAAGACAATGTAGAAGACGACTGTTAGAAGTAACACACAAGGGTCAGTCTTAATGGTGGACATTCAGGAGGTAGACATCCAGCAGGTAGACATCCAGCTGAAATCAGTTTTATATTTTTAGTCTCAAACTTCTGTATTTATGACCTCGGAAATAATTAAGAAGTGTAGGAAAAAAAAAAAAAAAGAAGAATGGCCACAGCCAAGCTGGCCATACTTCATTATAAAAATGAATGTTACAAAAAAAAAAAAAAAAAAAAAAAAAAAAAGTTTGCTTGAAACTAATGGTTAGCCTTGGTTCACACTAGTGCGCCTGGCCATGCAATTTGACAACTCCAAATTGCATAACAAGTCGCACTCGATTTGTGCGGAGTGGCACAGATTTTGAACGGTTCCATAAGCAAAGTCTTCGTCTCACCAACTTGAAAAAAAGGTTTCTGCATTATTTTTGGCATAGACCTCTGTGCATGAAGTCAGACAAGTGAAGTAGTGCGATTTCAAAGCTGCATTCAGTGTGAACCAAGGCTAATGGAGGCAAACTGAATTTTCTAACCGCTACAGTCAAATAAAACCTCAAATGTCACGGTAGAATTTTGCCCATTCAAAAGCAAAAATTTCCAAACTGTGAATGCGGTCTTCGTTTAGGAAAAATCAGATATGGTCATGAAACCCTTTACCACCACTGGGATTCTATTGAAATTGTCAAGTAGGAAACCCATGCAGCTTCCAAATATATTTAAAACCGTTATGCAATAGGTTTGCTTGTCAAGACCGTTTCAGTATACACATCCAATGGTAGGAAACACAAATAAAATCCACTGGAGGGTCCAGCACACATGACCAATGTAGAAAAATAAATGTATAAATATAGCAATTCCATACATCTATTGAATCTTCACCAAAGAGATATTTTATACTATGCATCGTTTCATGCCATTTGTTATGTATACCGAGAGTTATGCAATATGCTGGATTGTTAAGGCCCTTTTCACAAGGGTGATCCTGGGAGAATGGTGGGCATACAAGAACTTGTGTGTTTTACACCCACCTACCTCCAAAACCTATCAAAAAAAAAAAAGCTGTCTAAGCAGAGCAGAAAGCAGTTGGGTGTAAATAAGGACAGCCGGTCTGTTTGCAACCAACCACCCATAGAGCAGACTAGGCTATGTCCATGTCCGCTCTGCATAAACTGAGCGAACACAGACCTGCCATCCACCTGTTCTGCTCAGCAGGGAGATCCCCTGCTAAGCAAAGCAGATTCCACTATATGTGAAAGGGGCTTAAGACGGTTTTTAGGATTTTTGGAAGTTGGGTGGGCTTCCCATTATATGTTTATAATACATGTATCATTTCCATAAATTTTATTTGGTTGCAAATTCGTTATTTGTTGCATGTGTTGAGCTTGTTGACAACCTCTCCAGTCTGTGGAAATGCAAGAGTTCTATCTGAACCAATCCCTGCAGATGGATGTGACAGGGGTGGACTGACCATATGCAAACTCTGACCCTGCCCGAGGGCCCAGGGTCAGTAGGGGGCCCCATGAGATGCCCCGGTACCTTTTTCATAGGCTTTTTTGAGTTTGAGCAAGGACACAGGGGCCCTATGATCCCCTATTGCCCAGGGGCCCCATGAGTGGTCAGTCCACCCCTGGGATGTGAGCAACATTATATTCCACATGGCTATGCAGTGTGGCAGAGATCATAAACCACAAGGCCTAGCTGAACTGAGTTACATATTCTTTAGCAGGGAATGCTGTAAACATATGGCGGTTGATTTGCTAAAGGCAAATAGACTGCACTCTGCAAGTGCAGGTGCTCCAGAGCTTCGTGAATGAGCAGAATCTCTGCTGACTTCCATCGTCCAATCACATGCAAGCAAACGTTTTGCAATTTTTTTTTTCTTGCATGTGATTGGGTATTCTTGGCAAAAGGGAAGCTTCATCTCATTTACTAACTCTGGAGCAACTACATTTGCAGAGTGCACAGTATTTGCCTTTAGTAAATCAACCAAGGATTTAAATATATATTTAGCCCTCTACCCAACCAAGGATTTAAATATATTTAGCCCTCTACCCAAAGTTCCACTTTTATTCTCCCTTTCTCAAGATAACTAGGATGTTTTCAGGGGCAGCATTAGTTTCTGAATTGAAATCAGAGCTCTGGTCTCATCTCTAGGTCTGATGGGGATTACCTGGTTCATAGAAGCCAAACCACCATGGCGGAACTCCTCTTCACATTCAGCACCCTCTCACCCATTAAAACTCTAAATGAGAAGGTGATAGGCTCGTCTTTTTTGACCTGAAAGATGGAAGGAATAAAACAAATAAATGGATGATTAATAATTACCAAATACAGTGTTTACCACAGAGACAGAGCAGTCTCTGGTTTATGGCTCTTTCCATCTTGTTCGCTCCAATCAGTGCAAGTTCAATAAAAAAATTGTAAAAAAAACTATGGATCAAAAGCGCAGTAAAGAACCATCCGTATAAGGAAAAAATAGTACATATAAACACCCCACTGCTGCGTTAAAACATAGTGAACCAATAGCTTAACAAAAAAGGAACAGCGCTGTGGGAGTGGCTACAGTTGAACCTTGCTGGGAGTGTACCTTTGTTGTAATACCAGTTGGTATGAATCACAAGGAATGCCTGGGCCAGGATGGACAGCCCGTCCGCTCCGATATGGATGGAATGAGACAAGGGGTTCTCCTGTCACTGGTGATGGACCAGGTGATCACGGCGTCCAGGAAACAAGTCACCGCGGTCTACAGAGGAAACGGGAGGGAGGATCCAACGTTGGAACGCAAGCCAAGATGGAGGCCGGTAACCTGGACAACGCGTTTCGCACTCATGCGCCTTGTCAAGTTCACTTTTAATAAAAATTGTACCTTTTTTAGCCTGCAGCAGCACAAAGCTTTTTTTTGCTCCCCAGTTTGACAACTAGCTAGCAAGTTTCCAAAAACTGTTGCTGCATGGGGGTAGACTAATCACGCAACTGCCATAGAGGCCCGATTACTCTTAAATATTCACAGGTACTCCATTCCCATAAGTCTGCAATTTGTTTAGAAAGTTTGGAGATACCGGATCTAGACAAAAAAGACCAGTATACTGCCCTTTAGATTTTCTGGTGGCCGCACTGTGGTCCATGTGAGTAGAAAATGCTTTGGTGTCAAACGGGAGTAAACAAGGTTTCATCATTCGTAAAAGTGGGACAAATAGTGCCCCCTTGCTGGCGGCTGTTGGAGGCAGTCTGACCCCTCGGTGGTGAAGTGAGAAGCCAATTGGCTACCATGCACAGCAGCACCAGATTTGCACTCTCCAGCTTTAGCAAGTGAACCCCTATGGCTGTCTCCTTTAGATGTGCCCACCCTCTGACCATCTCCTAGAGCACGTCTGGCAACACATGTAATGCTGCAGAAAGTTGCCACTTTATGCCCCCTATTTTAACCATTTTTGGTCCTGGGCTTTGTTTAAAAATGGCGCCTGCCCATCCCCTGGCACTATGCTGAAACCACCACCTGTGAGTAACAGCCAGCCAAGGTCCAGCACTAAACTCAGGAGCCGAAACCATGAGCTGCTAGACCTCTGGTGAAATGTTGCGTTTACATTCGCTTCTACAGCATGCACATAAGATCTATAGAAACATCATAGTATTTGTATCAGGAGATGAAGGGAGTTAGTCTCCGGAAAACGCGTTGGCCTACTCCACCAAGGGTCTACCGTCACTTTGGACGGTCATTATGGACTCTGTCTGTTTTTATCCCCCTTTGGTTTGCGAGTATGCATTTTTATGCTTCCTAATAAATTCTTGGTTTACTAAGTTAATGCACGAAGAGGGTGTGTCCCGTTCTGCTTTTGTTCAGGAATAGATCATTGCTATAGAAACCTGTTGCTGGCTCAGCTGCATTGGTGGTCTAGATTTGGTCTCCACCAACGAGAGTTTCCCCCATGAAGGTATAGGTTTACACTAGTGGCGACTTGACCATGGATGTGTTTTCAGAGGCATTTAAACAGGTGGTGGGGAGGAGATATATATCGCCTTTTCACACGTTTTAATCCCACACCATACTGTGGCCCCATTTGCCTAAAAGTTGCATTCAGCAGCAGTACTGCCCCCCCCCCCCCTAAACTAGACAGGGGTATATTTATTTCTGTGACCCCAAAGCCAACGGTCATGACTGCGCCATGTGTATAAAGAGAGGGTCCAATACCTCCAGAAAACCAGATCGCATACAGAAGAGTGGGACAGTGGACTGTATTCAAGAAATTGAGAAAAATGACTTATTACTCACAGATAGAAAATAGATTTCAAGTTCTCCCTTTGCGTTCTCCTCAGATTTGGAAATTATTTTATTCTTCTCCAACTTGAAAAAGAGAAAAAAAAAAAAAAAAGTTAATCCTGTGCACCACAACCTTCATTTTACAGTTACAGAATATGCAGACTAGAGTAAAGCTCAAACTGAACGTTCAGTGTTAAAAAACTATTTTTTTTTTTGAACTTTTTAAGTGACATTCATATTATTCCATCACATATCACAGCAATAAGAGGAGTATTCCTCATTTAAGGCCAGTGGGCAGACCCATGCGAATCCAGAGTAGCGATTCGCTGGCGAGTAGGCCCTGATGAAGTCATGTGATGCGTGGGAGGAGCTGGGTGTTGATGCTGCAAGGATGCTGAATTGCAGTTGCACAAGAGATTTAAAGGTGCTCACCAGCCTCCTCACCAGCTGTCAAACACTCAGATCACTTTTCAGAAAAACAGCAGTGCTTGCTGCACTTGTGAATGAGCCCTTCGATGCATTCAGCAGCGGCACCCTTAGAACTCGTAAAATCCTGTGGTTGAGTGGAAGTTTAACTGCCCCCAATCCCTACCCCTTTTAGCTGCTATACAGACGCCACAGCAAGAATGAAACCTCATGTTTTTGGTGGGTGCTACCACCTGCCAATCACAATTCATTTAAGTAAAAAAAAGGGGCCACTCTGAAAGCGCCCCGCAACTGCATGCTTCTGTGGGGTCCAAGTGGTTACAGCAGGTGGTGAGAAAGCAACAGCGCAGCCTGCTTTAACCCCATCTTTGCAAGTGCCCTGCAACCTTGTGCAGTACAGCAGAGTGGATTCATTCACTTGAATGGGTCATGCTTGGCAGGTGCTTCATCCAAACACAACTCCTGCTGCATCATGTGTACCAGGGGCGGACTGACAACTCATGGGGCCCCCGGGCAATAGGGGATCATGGGGCCCTGTGTCCTTGCCCAAACTCAAAAAAGCCTATTAAAAAAAAAAAAAAAAAAAAAAAAGTGTACCAGGGGCATCTCATGGGGCCCCCTACTGACCCCAGGCCCTCAGGCAGTGCAGAGTTTCCAAATGGTCAGTCCGCCCCTGATGTGTACAGCCCTGGTCACTGCAGTCAAAATGGGTGCAGTTGGGGTGGGGGTGGTAAAACATCTCAACTATGGGGTTTTACCACCTCACCCCCCCACTGAAAATTTAAAATGGCCACTTACTGTTCTGGACCCCCTCCCTATAAGGCGGCTTCCACATTGCACCCATACCGCAGCACAGCAGTGAGGTGCCTGCAGCTTTCTTGCAGGTTTGCTGTGCGGTTTCATTGACTTCTATTATGGATCTTGCAGGTGTGGTCAAAAGTGCACCAAAAAATGATATTGTGTAGGTTTGGTGCACTTTCTGAAAGTGCATCGGAACAATGGCGTACTGTCCGTGATATTTTACTACTTATTTTCTCTTTTATTTGTGCGAACATATAATTTTTAGAACAAGCTTTCAGGGTATGTCTCCTTAAAAAGGGTCCAAGCAGTACTATTTCAAAGTTTTAGCAGCTAAAAAACTGTCAAAAATATATACACCTTAATTTTGTAAAAATAACAAATGTTATGCCGGATAAATAGAACCTGTAGAATTTTTAAAACTTTGCTCTATGGAATTTTAAAAATTACTTAATTATTAAATACTTAAAATATCCATAGGCAGTTTAAAAAGCATCTATGTTCTCAGTTTAGAATTAGAGGAATTCTGGTGCTAGATGGGGCAGGGGCGGACTGACAAATCATGGGGCCCCCGGGCAATAGGGGGAATCATGGGGCCCCTGTGTCCTTGCCCAAACTCAAAAAAGCCTATGAAAAAAAAAAAAAAAAAAAAAAGTACCAGGGGCATCTCATGGGGCGCCCTACTGACCCCGGGCAGTGCCCAGAGTTTCCAAATGGTCAGTCCGCCCCTGGGCAGGGGGATGGGGGCGCTGGCAAAAAAAAAATAAATAAATTCAAGGGATAGTGTAAAAAAATATACAAACTTTCACTTAGAGGTGAAATTTGGGGTCTCTCCCTAATTTTAAAAAGAAGGAGAAGAAAAAAAAAAATTGATCTTTGCTAAAAATAAATGGTCCTTTTTTATTGGACCGGAACCAGAAGTGACGCCATGATGTTGCTCTGGTTCTCCTAGGCAAAAGATGGGCGGAGGCCATCTTTCCTTTGCTCATCTCTATGCTCTGCTGCTGTTAAGAGATCCAAATAGTTTCCTGAAGCTACCAATATCAGTCTCGTAAGTCTGGGAACCACTGGAATGTGGCAGCTTCTAAAAGTGATCCAGCGGCGAATCCGCCACTTGGATAACTTTTAACAGAAAGACTGGTGCCCGATGGAAATATTTAATTCGTAATTATGCCATCTAGCTGCAGTCATAACCCTGGTATTAGATGTCAAAGTAACGATGTATTTTCCCAGTTTCGCCAGCAATAAGCAGTTTTTTTAAGCTAAAAAAAAACCAAAAAAAAAAAAAAAAAAAAAACCATTCATTCATATATATATATATATATATATATATATATATATATTAAAATGTTAGCATTCTCTAACAATTTACCTTTGACAGCCACATGCGGAAGAAAATAAAAATAGAAAAAATTTACAGATTTAATGTTAGAACGTTCCACCTTAAGGTGACATTGTTTTCAGCTAAAGAGATACAGACCTACCCAGCTAATGTCAGCAGGAAAAAAAAACAAAAAAAAAAAACAAAAAAAAAAAAAAAAAAAAACACAAAAAAAACACCACTTGCCTCTCTCAAAGACCACAAATCTGCATGGTATCCAGACAGAATTCTTGATTTAAAAAGTGTCATGCCAGAGGCGTTGTGGGATCCTTGATATCTATAAACAAAAAGGAAAAAAAAAAAAAAATGATAAACCAAAAAACCCACACCACAACTAGTTACATTTTCTTTCCCTAAAAAGATAAACATGAACCACTTCACTGTGGTGCTTTGTTTACAGTGTTGCATGACCATGCAGTTACCAGTTAAATTATAGATCACTCTTTTCACACAAATGGAGCTCTTGGTGAGAATTGATCACCATTGAGTGGTTTTATTTTTTAGAGTATAAAAAAAAAAATCTAAAAAAGATCTCAAAAAATTTAAAACACAATCTTTTACTTTCTGCTATAAAATAGATCCAAAAATAAAAATCGTACCAGATATATACAACTTAAAATCTCAGGGATCCCACTAAGGAAGTCACATTTCACATCTATAGTGACAAAACGTGTAAGGGCGGGACCCTGGATGAGGTCATGATGCTTATTTGAAGTTGGATATGTGGTAACCTGTAGCAGTTTTGAGGGGCGATATTGCACAAGATTACCAAATCTGAAATATATATATATAGATTTTTTTTTTTTAATTCTATAGTTACATATCTGGTGAGATTCACCCTTTTAATGCAAGCGTGAGTTATCCTTTGTTATATTGTATATAAAAAGTCTTTCATGAACTAAATATTAGTTTGTTTGCATGATGTGGAGCAGAGTTGGTGATTAAGTCGTGGAGACTCATCAGCTGTACCCAAAAATTTAACATGGTCTGTCAAAAGGGCAAAAAGCGCAGTATGACTGAACACTACTCTGGAGGTCAGTAAAAGGAAGGCGAGAGCACACCTGGTGGTGGTTTATGCACACAGCACGGCTGAATATGGAAGATGGCATATATTTAAAGGGCAAAAAAAGGACATTTCTTTAGAATTGTAGCGGGCAGGGACAGACTGACAACTCAGGGGCCCCCAGGCAATAGGGGATCATGGGGCCCCTGTGTCCTTGCCCAAACTCAAAAAAGCCTAAAAAAAAAAAAAAAAAAAAAAAAAAAAAAAAAAAAAAAAAAAAAAAAAGTACCAGGGGCATCTCATGGGGCCCCCTACTGACCCTGGGCCCTCAGGCAGTGCCCGAGTTTATAAATTGTCAGTCCGCCCCTGATGGAGGGCATTAGTTTTGATTTTGCCTTTACTTATCTCTGGCAGTACCACAAGTTTTAGATTTATAGTGATTTGATGCTAGCGCTGCACTATTTATATCTGCCCATCTTTATCATTATGACACAATCCCTGGAATCTATAACCCCCGGTACACATATATGCGGCTGTGCGGGCCGCGTTTTGCGCGGGCACAGAGCCCATTCATTTGAATGGACTTTCGTGCCCCAGGACACGCAGGGAAGAAGTCTGCATTTCTTCTGAAAACACAGCCTGCACGAGAGCCTCGGTTCCCAGTATGGTTGCGTTTTCCAGTGTGGGTGGTGTGCCATTAACATTAGTGGCACCTGCCCGCGGGTCCACATTCCTCTGTGCAGGTGGTACTGTTGCACGGATTTTCGTGCAGATCCACAGCCGCACCACCAGCACAGATGTGAACCGAGCCTAAAAACTGGTGCAGACAGATTTTTGCAAAAGTGTTGCATGCAATCTAAAAGTGGTGCAGCACAAGCCAAAACCCGTCTAGAACTTGTACTTGAATTTGGAGCATGCTGCACCATTTTTTCACGCACACTTTTGGTAAAATCTGTCCACGTCAGTTTTCTCTACGCACCAAAAGAAATGGTCTTTATCAGCTCCACTTTTGTAAGACATGAACTGCCTGTATTTTATTTTGAATTTGTTGTAATCATTGCACCACACTGTACAAGGGGCACATTTTAGAAGGAACTGAATTTGGTTCACGATTTGCTGTCAGAACCAAAAAAAGTGTTGCAGACTTGGAGCAATACATTAACAAGAGGGATGAACACCAAAAAAGCGTCGCAGCAATTTTATTGAATCGTTCTCCCCTCCATGGGAATGGAGTATGTAGAGACCAAACTTTGTTTTAGCCTTGGTAGTTTTGAGTAGGGAATGGTTAAAACCCTTCTCTGGTTATATTATGTTGCCCAAGTCCCAACGGGCAGATTTCTCTTTATTTTCCTGTCCTGGAGACGCAATGGAAAAAAAAAAAAAAAAAAAAAAAAAAAAGTGAACAGCATTCCCAACTCCCATAACGTTTCAGTGAGAATGGTCGCCAGAAGAGGGTGACTCTTTCCATTGGAGACAAAGGTTGAACCCTTACCCACACTGGAAAGGATATTCATTCCAATAGTATTGCAATATGTACACCCCCTTTACCATAGCCTAGATTTTTTTTTTTTTTTTTTTTTAATCTTCATTCCCCCCCTCCAAAGTTTGATTCTTGCTAGGCACACGTCACATATTCCAAGGTGCGTCATCTGCAAGACAGTGGCCGGAGGATGGAGCTGGTCATCAGGAGGCCAGCTGTTTGTACTGAACAGTCGGTTCCTATGCCACTGTCTCCTCTCTGAACCATCTTATTTCAGAAGCAGACTATCCAAGCAGGCCAATACTGGATTGCCAGGCATGCAAGAATGTTTGAACATAACCCATCCTAAAAAAAAGGTAAGAGGGTATTAAAACCTGGGAAAAGGGGGTGGGGATGGGGGTTAGTGAAGTTCCTCTTTAGGTCTCTTGACTTGGGTTTCATCTGGCTCAGCTGTCGGACCCAGGGGCTCATCTCTGCTAGGGTACTTAGGCTTCCCTACTGTCTTGCAAATTTCCAACAGATTGTTATATTTAATTTGGGCAGCAGAAAAACACCTTTACTCCAGCATGCAAATTGTGCTTCTCTTATTTCCTCATGGTTATTTTGGGGGGGGGGAAAAAAAAAAAAAAAAAAAAAAAAAAAAAAAAAAAAAAAAAAAGTCAGGTCCCAGTTGAAGGAGATGGATATATAGATATCCCCATCCATCTTGATGTGTACTCCGTAGCAGCTGTTCTACAACCCCCAGGAGATCCTGAACCATCTTTGTTTTACTACCATAATTGGATTACCCTGAAAGGAAAAAGGGATTACATACCCAAGAGTGACAGTCATGTTGAAGACCTTTACCACTCCATTCACGCAATTATCCGAGGTGGTGGATACGCTTAGGGAGTAAGCAGAATCTTCTTTTGGTATTGGGACAAAGTATTTGACGGTGGTCTGCAGGTTTAAAAAAAAAAAAAAAAAAAAAAAAAAAGTTACTAGAAAAGTAAGAGAATAGTTAACCAGTCCATGTAGGTTATAAAAGACTTGCCAAAAGCAGCCAAACTGACTGGATTTCAGAAACTGAATTGTTTGTAACCTTTTATAAAATTTTCTTGCTTAAAATAAGGATTCAGTTTTTTGGAAGAGACCTCCCCCCACCTTATTTATTTTTTTAAAAAAAATAAAAAAATGAAAAAAAAAAAATTGTCTTGTGCTTTCCATTTATTTTTTGATTAATTCTATTTAATTGTTTTTATAGGTCTTATTCTGACCTTTTTGCTTACCATGAAAAATAGGTAAACAAGTAACACACACACAAAAAAAAAACACAAACACACACACACACACACACACACACACACAAAAAACACACAAACACACATTTAAGCCCAATGCACCCTTAAATATATGTCATACCACCCTCATTTTCATTTCTGCATTGCATTTTGACTAAATGTTGCAATTTGGGCAAAATGTTGCTGTGATTTTCCATCACCTCAAACCTCCGTAAGAGTTACTAAACCTGTTTGTATTACCTGGGCCAGAAACCACCCAATTCCTTCAACGTCTAAGCTGTAGTCACCACTAGCTTCTGGCAAATTCTGTCTCTGTACCAGCAGCCGGTTTTCAGGGGTCATGTTAAGGGTACCAACATCTCCGTTGTTGCCTTTGACCACAACAGTTTGCTGTGAATTTGGAGTGTACAACATCCTTGCAAAGCCACCGAGAGCCTGGAGGGCGACAACTGTGTTCTGAGAGAGAGAGAGACGGATTGTTAACAAAGATATGGAAACTAAAAACCACAAGTAGAATTTAAATGCAGTTTACCCCCCGCACAGCTTTTTTGGACTTCCACAACGTTCCATAATTACCTGTGTAGATGAGAACCCTCCATTGGAGTTCTGCCGGCGAACGAGCCATAGGGCTATCTGAGCCATTACTGACAGGTCTCTTTGAGCGGACGATGATTTTGTGGTCCCTGCTTCAGGATTTTTTAATTGCTTGATCTCTTCGGTCATGCTTAGCAACATATAAGATGCGAGTTCCACCTCGGCTGGGGCGTATATAGGCAAGAAAAAATGGAACTGGTCGTAACACAGGCATGTCTTCTCTTTCCCAGTGTATTGTGCCGTCTGGAAAGAAAGTGTCATTGTAAATGTAAAGACAATCGGGATGTAAAAGGGACATTTATAAAAGTAGTGTGGGCTCATTCACACTTATGCAATGCAGCACATATACTGTAGAACCCTCCTAGTTAGGCTGGTAGGTAAATGTAGTTTTTAGCTTCATTGTAGAAAGTGGAATGGTTGATCAGTTAGGTCTGATTGGGATCCCTGAGCTCAGAGTTGATTGCTTCCTCCTGCCTCTGGAAGAAGCTTCCAGAGCATAGCAAGGGAGATTCAAATGATCAAATTTATCGTTCCCTGGTCAAACCCTGAAAGGAAGCTTCCAGAAGGTGGCTGAGGAAGTGATCAATATGCAGGAAGCCTGAGCAGATTATTCTCTCCTTGTCAAGGAGGCTTCCAGTCTCCTGGGGATGTTGCCCCGGGCTATCACCAGAGACACGAGAGATTGCTGCTTGGACCTCAGTGGTTGTTTGGCTGAGGGCCTGAAAAGAATTACCAAAGAAGAACCCTTGCTAAAGGGCACTTGTCTGAATTCCAGACCAAAAGAGGGATCCTCCTTTCCTTCACAAATGATTTGGCTGAAGATGCCAAGTAGAAGATAGCAACTGGGACGCAGAGTAGACTTCACTAGGATTGATAGTTGGGCAAGTGCCAGAGAGAAACCAGTTGGCAGAGGTTGCTTTATGGACTATTACAGGGCAGTCAACATCCTAGCCATACCTTGCCTCCCCCAGAAAAGCTTCTCTTGGAAAAAGTAGAGGAAAGTTTTCTTCTACTGCGATTGCTTGTTTTGGAGAATCCCATGACCCTTAACCTCTCTCCTGTTAAAGTTCTTTAGCAATAAACTCTAAGTATCCTCTAGACTAGAGCCTGAATTGTTAGTGTGCATGGGTGACCAGCAGCCTCTATTATTCGAGAGACCCTGTATCTTCAGCAGCCCCTTTGTGGAGGAGGAATACAATACCACGCGTTAATGTGATTTACATTAAAGCAACTCATTCAAAATTAAACCACAAATGATCCAAAATATGGTAAATGAACCATTTCTGGACAGCACCACAACGCACGTCAGTAAGGCAATATGGGTGTGCCTCTCAGAATGAATGGCACCAATGCATGTAACATGGGGCAACATATGTTACATGCATTGGTGCCATTCATTCTGATAACATGCATTTTACCGCAATAAGATGTCCTAATAGTACATTAATGTGAATGGGTCCTTAACGTGACAGTCAAACATTTCCTGCAGGCGAATCTTCCTAGTGCAATGCATTTAAAGTGACCGTGATTGGTTCACCACCGGTGAATGTTTGATGGACGTGACCTTCACAGCTTTAGAATAAGACCCGAATATAATGCTTCATTGTTTTTGCCGTGTTTGTCTATTTGCAGGACTTCAACAATTTGCCCTCTTTGAAGCTCAGCAATCTCTGACATGATTCCATACTACTAGAAGCACATACAGTGAATGGTGCAAGTGAGGCTTCCCACCTGTTAGCTAGGGGTCTCACATAACACAGGAAGCAATAGGTTCCATCACTTCCGCTTTAATGTGAAACATGTGGTCACTTTCACACCTGCAATCACACACACCTCACATCATGTAGGGTTTCCATTTTTGTCTAACCCCTATATAACTTCATATTCCAGTCCCACTGGGCAGCCACCTAGACTGTGGCAATTTGGAAGATAATCTGATGGTAGGTTGTAACGTACATGTAAGATTTGAGTAGCTGAGATGTGATCTGTAGAAATATGACAATGTAGGTTTAGCTTCAGTCCATGTTCTAATATAAGATGTGTTCAGAATTAAGTCAGACATATGGTCACCAATTAGCATCTGAAGGGACAGAGCATCCTCTAGACTGGAGGTGACACCTGGATGCCAATAAGATTTGTCACCTTCTGGAAATCTGGAAGGAAAAGGCTCTAGACAGTTCAGCTTCATGACAGTGGGAGACCAGAGGTGGTTCCGACGTGTTTGGGAGCTTTGATGTATATACACAGATCCAAAAGTATATATATTTCATCTCTCATAAAAGCTAAAATATTAGTTGCAGAGAGATGAAAATACTTCCTTCTGATTGGACACACACTAGGATACATCTGCATGTAAAACTATTTGTAGCCTCTGTAGAATCCCAAAGAAAACTCAGAAAAACGGTTATATGGCACCTGATTGCAACAGCTGAACAGTGATTGGTACTGTCGCGATCGGACTGATGCGCTGGTGTCGGAAACTCAATCCCTAACTTGGTGATTCAAACGGTTCCTGGTCCAATCGACTTTTGGCACTTCACTACCCAGAATGTCCTGTGAGCTGGTACAGGACCACCCCCAGAGTTGATTTGCCAAGGGCTAATGTCCAGCCTATGTCCATATTTCAATAAATTGAGGATCCTGAGATATGGACGGTGTGATTCGTACGGAGCCAGTTCCATTGACTGGTGGATTGCAGAATCTGACTTGCTCCAGTCACAGGATAACTCTTGGTAAAAAAGTTTTGTTTTTATTCCCTTTTATTTTATAGTCAATAGCCAATTGTGTGTCTCTTTGCATTTTCTGTAATGGTTTTTTCTTTGTACATATTTTATGCACTGCCCACTTTCGGGATATTAAATCATAACATTAATAAGTGACTTCTGGGTACTTAAGCTCGGGCTCATATCTGCAGAGAGATTGTATTGTATTGCAGTGTCTTTATATGCTTGGTCAAGTTCATTGCCAATCTGTGTGCAGTTGCACTGCGTATTGGCAGATTGCAAAGGTAACAGATCTGCCAGACAGAGATCAGTGTATGTGTGGTGGCCCAGCAGGCCAGTCTGCAGTATAAAACTGTTGGGTGGTGGCAAGCTACCATTTTGTGGTGTGTCTGGTGTGGGGGTGTGTGGACAGTGGAAGAGGGATTAACACTGTGGTTCTAGCTTGTAGGATAGCTGGAGGAATCCTAGAAGGGTGTGCCGATTGCTAGGCTGCTCCTCAACCCTTAGTGTGCACCAGATTGTATATAGGATTCGTATCTGCCTGTGTGGTCAGCCAGCTGGATTGGAGTGGAGTCTCCCTCTAGTGGTAGCCAGAGGTAGTGCAGGCTGTGAAAGTTATCACGGTCGGTCTTCTATATATATAGTCAGATTAAGTCCCCCTTATTCCCTCTTAACCCAAGTCACGGCCGCACGTTAGCTAGTCGCTGTGGGAGTGTGCATGTGGAGTGGATCTGTGACCTAGGTCTATGTAACATTATGTGGGGATCATTTTCCCATCAAAAGTCTAATTTAAAGTGGTTGTAAAGGCTATTTTTTTTTTTACCTTAATGCAATTAAGTTAAAAACTTTACATGTTGCTCTCCCCCCAGTAAAATAGTCTCCAATGTGCTCTTCCTCCTCACTTGACTCCGTGAGAGCGGTGAGAGTCATTGGTTCCTGCCAGTCAAATCCAGTGACGAGAGCGCCAATAGTAAGTCATGTGAAACATGCCAGCCTCTATTGACAGTCTTTTACCTTTAAGCATTTTGTATTTTTGTCTCTGCTCCTCCCTTTCCTCTGGTTTAGTTCATGCTGCATAGATAGCAGCAACCTTTTTCCCAGTAATGCATTTCAGCTTCAAACCTCATGTCATGAAGTAGATCACATTATGATTCTTTTGATCTATGCCATGTTCATTGTTGTAAGATTCTCTCAGTTTATGGAATAAACTTCACAAGATCTACAAGGTGTCATCTGATCGAGTCACTGCCTGTGTCATTCAACTAAGATTGGAGTTATCGCCATCTCATCACAACTATAGGTTACAGAGATCACACTTTCAATGCTTAGATTGGAGAGACGGAACAGAGGCGCACAGCCCGGCTTAGGATCGAGCCTGCACAATAGCTCCCATAGCTTGCTGTGGGGGCACTTGGAAAGCAGAAGGAGCCAGGAGCGCTGGCAAGGGACCCCAGAAGAGGAGGCTTGAGGCTGATCTATGTGAAACCATTGCAGCTATGTTTGTCGTAAGGAATAAAAAACACACACACTTTACAATCCCTTTAAGTCTTTTCTAGGCAGTCAGGGTGTGTGAACGTGACTATAGGAGAGACTACATACAATGTGCAAGTGTCTGGATGTCCATAAGTGTTTTGAATGGCCTCTAGGCTAGCCGTTTGATCTGACACCGACCCCATGCATGGGGAAAATGTGTGTTCAGAGTGGTTAAGGGCTCATATTTTTCACCTTGGTGTGTAGAGTACATGGCAGCAGGCTCACTGTGTGAAGCTGACCCATACGTTTTGTTTCTGGGGTCACTTTAAGAGTTCATATTTTCTAGTTTAACTAGTTGGCAACCTTAACATCTAAAAGCAGTTTGGAAGTGGCTATTTTCACTGGTCAAAAGCAGGCTTAAAGACCACCCCCCCCCCCACCTTGTAATTTGTTTAAATTTTGCCATAGGTGCATGTACCCACATGGCAGTTCCCAGGTGCTCACTACTTAGTTTTACAATAGCTTGCCTATTAACCTTGGCAAGAATTGAGTAACAAGCAGTTAAACCCACAGAATTGAGTAACAAGCAGTCAAACCCACATAGATTTCAATTGGAACTAGGCATGGACCAAACCCACCCATCCCTAGTGGTTTTTGAGAGTGCAATGAGTTTTAAAAGGCTCGAGTTTGTAAAAACTGGCTTTTTTGCAAAAAGTTTCAACCTAGGCAAAATTGTGAATGTCACCAAAATCACTGCCAATCCCTAGCTCTTAAATGCTGAAAGAACAGTTTTGAGGTTTTTGGTTCTGAATAGCCATAAAAAAAATATATATAATACCTTTAGTTATGGCTTTCTGCATGAGTCTGGCCAGCAGAGGTTCACTATATTCTTTAAGACCGGCCAATGTCAAAGCGTACAGCATGAGGACTTCATTATTAATTTTTTGTGGTGTGGTTGATGCATTCTTTACACACTCCATAGCCCCTGCCAACAGAGTTTTCTGGAAAACAATGGAACATAATTATACACACAAAAGGCCATCAGCCACTAAAAGTTCAGTGCAGAAGGCAAAATATGATTGGTTGATCTAGATGTCCTCCATTGCAGATCAAAAAACTAAAAAAAAAAAAAAAGGGTATCTAATGGCTTTGGATAGAGTAGGTTTAAAAGCCCTGTTGTCTCTCCTCTGGAGACAAGGAACATTTTGACAGAAGGAGCGAGTGTCTGAGATGAGCTTAGGAGCCTGCTGCTTCTCTTTTCACTGTCCAGCCACAGGCTGGTGGTGGAGACAAGACCTACAAGTACTTCTTGTAGTGCATTTTCCAAAAAAGTAAATACACCCACACAGATTAGCAGATATAGGTGCAATGCACAGGCTCCAACAGACTATTCCTCGAGCCGCAGGTCCATATCCTGAGGAACGGATCTTCCAGCAAAGGGCTGGAGAAAGCATCAATGAATGAAGTTTAAATTTTTTTTTTTTTTTTTTTTTTTTAGTTTTGAGTAAAGTGGCAAGGGATTAGAAGCCCTGGGTGCTTCTGCTGTCTGTGTACCCATTAGAGTGAACCTCCCCATTTGTCCTGTTTATGGTTATCACCTAAAGTGAAAAGAAATTCCAAGTTTGGAAGATTTCGCCTCTATACCTGTTCTGATGACCACTCCTAAGTGGGTACTACTGTAGCTCTATTGACCCCGACTAGCAGGGATTTCCTTTAATTTCCTGTTGTCTATAGAGAACAGGAAATTAAAGGGAAATCTCCCAATGGGAGAGAAAATTTTGGATAGTGCGAAGGGTTATAACCCCTTGCACTTTCCAAAATGAATTCTTATGGGGGGGAAAAAAAAAAAAAAAAAAAAAAAAAAAAAGGGTGGGGAAGAAAATAAAGAACGTTTCACCAATGAAAAGGTCCTGTAAACTCTTTGTTACACCTACCTGCTCTAGTATTTCACAGAGCTGCCCCAAACCTCCTCTACTAGGGTCCCTCACTGGAGCCCTTTGTTCCTATCCTTTGTGCCCCACCATAGGTAGCTGCTTCCTATTGGGGCACACCTGCAGGCTCCCCCCTCAAGCCTCTCCATCTAATCTATGTACATCAACATTGAGTAGTCCATGTGACTAATCACAAGTGGTAAATTACAACCCACTACCTCTTCCATGACCACTAACCAGCTAGACACAACAGGAGTATGAGGTTTCCCTTCAGACAAGCTGGGAAAGAGCTGGGTCATGTGACTGTATATCGATTATGACAAAAAAAAAAAAAAAAAAAAAAAAAAAAAAGTACTTTTTTTTTTTTTTTTTTTTTTAAATGACTGAACGATCTACATAAAAAGAGAAAGAGAAGGGATAAATGTAAATTAAACAGTGTGTTTAGTATCGACTTGATATATCTCGCCTTGACTACTATTGTAACTCCCTCCTCGACTCATCGCAGGCTATCTCCTCTTCAGACTGTCATGAATGCTTCTGCCGGACTCATCCACCTTACTAACCGTTCCATATCTGCCACTCCCTCCCTGCCAATCCCTCCACTGACCTCCACTCAGTGTCCTCCACCCCTCCCTGCCAATCCCTCCACTGGACTCCACCCCTCTCTGCCAATCCCTCCACTGGCTTCCCATTGACCAATGGATAAAATTCAAAACAACATTAACATATAAAGCCATTTAGAAACTCTGCCCCAAATTACATCACCGATCTGGTCTCCAAATATCACCCAGTCTTCTCCACTCCTCGCACGACCTCCTGCTCTCTAGCTCCCTTGCCTCCTCCTCCCATGCTAGTCTCCATAGCTTCCCCCATCCTCTGGAACGCTCTACCCCAATTTATCAGACTAATCGACTACTCTGCTCACTTTTAGGCGATCTCTGAAAACCTCTCTTCAGGGATCAGGCTATCCTGCTCTCCACTAATAATGGAATCTTCTACTCCTACCAATCCATCCCCCATAGTTACTACCTTTCGTACCACTAGCCCCTCCATCTTAGATTGTAAGCTCCAAGGAGTAGGGCCCTCTTAGCCCTCTTGTATTGAACTGTATGGTCTCCCATTATATTGTAAAGCGCTGAGCAAACTGTTGGCGCTATATAAATCCTGACTAATAATGAATAAATAATAATAATAAATAATAATAAAAACTTTAATGCAGTAAAAAAAAAAAAAAAAAAAAAAAAAAAAAAAAAGTCTTGCATTTACAACCACTAACTTTTTGTTCTCCCTAAAAATCAAGTCAATTATCTGCTCGACATGTGGCTGGCCTTCTCTGCTTTGGATTGGATAGACTCTTACCCCCAAGCTGTAATCGCTTTCAAGAAGTGCAATGGCAAGGTAAGATGTGAAATAAAGATCGTAATCTGTATCCTGTGAAAAAAAAAAAAAATATATATAGGAAAAAAGATTGTTAAAAATGGTTCTCATCTACAGTGAGCATATGCAAATACATATATACACAGACTGCATTTAAAATGGTTTTCAGCCTTAAACTGGGGAGGTACAGCCTACAATTAACTTAAAAAAAAAAAAAAAAAAAAAAAAAAAAAAAAAAAAAAATTGTCCACCCCCCACCCCTCCATTCTAACTCCAATACTAGCTATCCTGTCAAAGGAAGATGCTTATAATTGCCTATTCTCAGGACGCTGTGGTCTGGTCACATACGGTAATTAGCAGCAGCTTCAGTGAGGGACAGCTGACAGATATCCCATAGCAAGTCTGTGGGCGATATCACTGCCCTGGCATTCCTCATGCTGTCGACAATCTCTCCTCAAATCCGGCTGCTGGAGAGATTATGTGACTGGACCAAGTTTAGACATCTTCCTTTCACAGGGTATTTAGACTAGGAGGTAGAAGTTATAAGGGAACAGTTTTAAGTTTAGTACGAATTCACACAAAAAAAAAAAAAAAAAAAAAAAAAAAAAAATAAAAAAAAAAAAAAAAGTACCCAAAATTCTCCATAGGCAACACCTAAAAGCCTTTCAGTTTACAGTTAATTATGAATGAACGGGGAGCTTTATTTTTTTTCAAATGATATGCCCTTTTTTTTTTTTTTTTTTTTTTATTCGTTATGGGGCCCAACAAGGCCAAGGGTACGAAAATATTGGACATGCACTTTTGAATGCTGCTCTCTGAAACTCGTGGCAATTGTGCTCTGGTGCATGGTGTGTTATTGTAACAGTGCATTTGGGGTGTCATACAAAATGGAAGGAAGTGTACTGCACCATGGTATGCATGTTTGGTTAAGACGCAATAACAGCTTAAAGCCCAAAGGTTTTCCTATGCAGTGGGGCTGACGGCTTGTTATGTCAAGGAGGCGATGAGAAAGCCTATACTCACCAGATCATCTGCTCCGGTGGCAAACAGCACTCCCCCACGATCCACTGGTGGACTGCTCCTCATGTCTATGGACTTGATGAAGTCAGGAATAGTCCACTGCTCAAGACCATGAGGGGGGGGGGGGGGTGGAGTTGAGGTGCCACAGGGACAGTCTTGTGTGGAGATGATTGGAGGATCAGGTAAGTAGATCTTTTCTCCTGCCCCCCCTAGGCAAAAACTAGCCATTAACCCTTTGCAGTGTGGGCACAGCCCCACTGCATGGCATTTTTTTTTCCCCATCCAGAGTTGGGCTTTAACAGTTTGAATTGGACCTAAACTGACACCTCTCTCATTTAGATCCAAAATATTTAGAACTGCAGTGCCCCATCCATACACTAACTTTTACACTTTCCAAGATAGTTCTCACTTTCACACAAAGCACACTTAACCGATTCAGTCAGTTTCTCTTTAAGACATTGCAGACAAGTCAAAATAAGTTCCCAAAATGTGTTGCTGTTGGTTAGCGATCTTTTGCGAATTGCTTTAAGCATATTATTGGTGGAAAGCAGATGTTTGTCTGACCTGGACAGTGAACATTCTTCCTTTGGGTTTAAAGCAGCCATTGTCCAGCCTCTGAGTATTCTCCAACCAGATGAGGGTCTGCTGCTGTTTGGTTTCATCAATCTTTATGTATCTCTTGGCTTTCTCAAAGACCTTAAAGGTGTACACACTCAGCCTGCAAGAACAACAAGGTTACAGCGTTACGTGGAAAGAATAAACCAATGTATTCAATGATTTTGACAAGCGGCTCTGTAATAGAAGGGGTGAATCTCGCTGTGAGTTGTGAACGGGTGAGAAGACTGGCAGAGGGTGCTGGGGGTAGGACAAGTTTCAGTATAGGTGTTTTACGCTTGCAGCATTAACCTCCCTGGCGGTCTAACTAATACTTTTGAGTGTCAAAGCGGTACATTGTGTTCCATGGAAAAAATTTGTTGTTTTATATTGTAGGCCTGTAATTCTTTAGGAATAACTCCCTTAAATCTGTCCAAACAAGAGTCTAGTAAATATCCCAGGCATGATCTAGTTTGAAACACGAAATCATAAATTATAATACAATTAAAAATATAGTAATACATTTAATTCAATAATGTAATCAAACCAAAAACACTGAAATTTGAAATAAAGCGCCAAGTTTGCACATTGAGCTCAGTCGCAGAATTGTTTTCAGTGTCCGATGAGGAATTTTCCCCACCAATCATTATTATCACTCAATTCTGCAAGTGGTTCTAATTTACTATCGCTGTTCTCTAGCCGGTCTAAAAAACCGCTTTTGACCCCAAAAAAAGGAGAAAAAAAAAAAAAAAAAAAAAAGACGCTTTTTGGATGCCATGGAGGGGTTAGATAAGAGTTAACCTCCCTGGCAGTATGATTATTTCAGATTTTGTGCTTAAAGAGGTACCATTTTTTTTTGCATGGAAATTTGGCATTTTATATTGTAGGCCTGCAATTTTTAGGAATAACTCACTGAAATCTGTCCGAACAAGAGTCTAGTAAACATCCCGGGTAGGATAAAACTTGAAACACGAAAATCATAATTTAATTATCATAAAAAAATATAACTTTAATTCAATATAACAAAAAAAACACTGAAATTTGAAATAGAGCGCCAAGTTCGCACATCGCTGAGCTCAGTCGCAGAATCGGTTTTCAGTGTCTGATGACGCATTTCCCCACCAATCATCACTCAATTCTGCAAGTGGTTCTGATTTACTATCGCTGTTCTCTAGCCGGTCTAAAACCATTTTTGACCTAAAGGGATGCTTTTTGGATGCCATGGATGTTTCTCAGTTTCCCAGGAAGAAACAGTAAAAGTGCAGGCAGGGCACTGCACAAAATTTAGGTGAAAGGATTTGTAATCTTTGATATACAGAATACAATGATACAGTAATGTAATTCTAATTTAGACTTTGAATCCCCCGCCGGTTCCTCCTCCCCCCCCCCCCCGTACATCCTGACGCTCGCAGGGAAGGGAACCCGGAAGATGGCAGCCGGTGGGACACAGCAGGAGGACCTTGCGGGATCGTGGGACAATGTAAGGCTCGAGGGATCTCTGCAGTGTAATCCCAACTGTTGCTTGGGGTTACCGCTTTTGGTACTGACATTAACCTAGAGTCACACTCAGGATTACCGCCAGGAGGGTTAAAGTGAGGTTTTAGGGCAAGCTAAAAAATTTTTAGTACCCATTTGGTTTCCAGGTTGCGGTAACGCGCACATTACCATAGGACACGCAACATGCTTTACTGTAATGCAGTGCTATTCATTTTGAATGGCACCTCAACACACTAAGGCAGTGGTTCTCAACCTTCCTAATGACGCAACCCTTTAATTCAGTTCCTCATGTTGTGGTGACCCCCAACCAGGGGCGGACTGACCATTCGAGCACTAGGTCACTGCCCGAGGTCAGTAGGGGGCCCCATGAAATGCCCCTGGGACCTTTTATGGGCTTTTTGAGTGTGGGCAAGGACATAGGGGCCCCATGATTCCCTATTGCACGGGGGGCCCCATGAGTTGTCAGTCCGCTCCTGCCCCCAACCATAAAGTTATTTTCGTTGCTACTTTATAACTAATTTTGCTACCATTATGAATTGTAATGTAAATATCTGATATTTAGGATGTATTTTCATTGTTCCAAATTGAACATGGTTAAAGTATAGTGATTAATCACAAAAAAACAAATTATAATTCATGAGTGTCTTTTTACCGCCAATACTGCCGCTTTCTACACAGCAGCCGCTTTCTACACGTGTGACTGGTCCACATAAGTACATTATGGTGCCAACCCTGTCACATACACCTGTATTTGTTCGGGGTATATGTGATGTGGTTGGCACGATGTTGTATTCACACCGGGTACTCGTATGTGGGTGGACCCACCTGGAGACTGATAGGGGAGCGGTGTCTTGGTTTCCAAGACCAATCGGGAATATGTGTTTTTCCGATGGTCTTAGGAGACTCCTGTGATAGGGTTGCTCGACCCCCAGGTTGAGAACCGCTGCACTAAGGCAATGTGTTGTAGCATTTCATTACAGAAAAAAAAAAAAAAAAAGTGTCATGTGCTTCCCCCAAATGTTCTTAGGCTACAGCTGCTTTCTAAGAAAACACCGAGTAGAAAGGCCTGTCCCCTACCAACATGCTACAAAGAAAGAGCTTTGTCAGATCTCTGAAGAATGTCCACTGCTGCCACACAAACACACTCATTGACGAGTCAGAGCTGAATAAAAAGCTCTAGTTCTGACTCAGCAAGGAGCGTGTTGGACCTCAGCAGAGAGACCACCGCTTCTACAGTGAGCAAGGATCCTCCTCGGCAGCATGCTTTTCTACCAAGGATGTGGCTGCTATTAAAAACACTGTTTTGATGCACTTAGAAGGTATTAACAGATTTAAAGGGATTCTAAAGGCTTAGTTTTTTACCTTTATGCTGCTGTCAATCACAGACAGTGAGCCAATGAGAGAGAGAGAGGGGGGGCATGGTCGAGCCGTGGCTCTGTGCTGAATGGACACGCAGTGCAGTGGCTCAGGTGCGAGTCTGCTAGAGTGCTCATATAGCGAGCTGCTTGTTTTGCAGGCATTTGGCAGGAGGGAGGGGGCCAGGAGCACCAGTGGGGGACCTCAGAAGAGGAGGATTGGGGCTGCTCTGTGCAAAACCACTGCACAGAGCAAGCAAGTATAACCATTTTAAAATTGCCTTTCATATCACTTGGGCTTTACATGTCTGCATCTCACAAAGTATTTGAGGTTCAACAGCTGAAAATCATTACCATGAATTGAGGTCATCGGCGGTGCGGAATATTTTATAACCTGGTCCACTGGCATATCCAAGTTGTCGATAATATCCTAGGTAGATTAGACAGAAGTTAAAGGATAAGTTCACCTTTTGGAACAAGTTTACATGCTCCACACGTATTGAGGGTGTAACATGCACCAGCAGTGGTCAGCTCTCCCCCCCTCCCTGTGAGAGGATGTTTTCCCCCCCCACACCCACTGTCACCATTTGAGGAAAAAAAAAAAAAAGTGGAGAAACAAAAAGCCAAAATCTGATGTTGCACACAATACTCAAACTGAAGGTGATAATTTTTTCCAGTCCATTTTTAATACTTGGCAGCACACCGCATCAAATAAATCAATGGCTTCCTGTAACCATCAATGAGCTTCTTCCACCTCTCTACTGGAAATTTTGGAGCGCTCTTCCAACCAGACCTGGAGCCGTTGGTGAAAGGGTTTTTCTCAACTGCTGTTATGAGATCTCTTCACAGGGGGCTGTATGGGATTGAGATCTGGACTCATTGCTGGCCAGTTCAATACTCCAGCGCTTTGTCTGAAACAATTTATGGGGGCTTTGGGTCATTGTCCTGCTGTAAGACACATGATCTCTGATGGTGACCCAACTTTCAGACACTGGACCCTACGTTGCACCCCAGAATTTTGTATAGCATTATGAAATCTGAAGACTACCAGACAGCCAAGACATCCAGTGCCTGAAGCAGCAAAAGTAACCCCAAAACATTGGTGACCCCCCCCCCCCCCCCACCAACACTATGTGTGACTGTATTTTCTTTAAAGGCCTCATTGCTTTTTTCTGAAAGCCGTAGAATGATGGGCTTTACCAAAAAGCTGTACTTTTGTTTCATCTGTCAGCAGCACATTCTCCCAATAGGGATTTTGACTTCCTCAGGTGAGTTTTGGCAAATCCCAATTTGGCTTTTTTTTTTTAATGTTTGTCAGCAGTGGGGTCCTCCCGGGTCTTACCATAGTCTCCCTTTTCATTCAGATGGCTATGTATAGTGTGAGCTGACAGTTGTACCCTGTGCCTGAAGGTCAGCTTGAATTTGTCTGGAAGTTGATAAAGGTTCTTTAGCCAAACAATCCTTTGTTGCAAGCTTTGATAAAATTTTTCTCTTTTGTCCACATCCAGGAGTTTACAGCCCATGGCACTGTAGCTAAACTGCTTGACAAGGCTGAGCACAGTGGACACAGGAACATTAAGATCTCTGGAGATGGACTAGTAACCTTGAGGATTTGAGACCGAAAAAAAAAAAAAAAAAAAAAAAAAAATTGTGGCAAAGCATGGGCAGACAAATTCTTTGCTTCCCTTTCTCTTCTCCATGCGGCACAGAGAGAGAGAAACAGAAAAGGTGGAGTCTATTTTTCATCATTTTAACTGGTAGGTGCTGACAATATAGAAATCACAACACCAGTTAATTGATACAGGAGAGTTTAAAACTACAAATTACAGGAGCATCACAAACTTGGAATGCAATTTCCAACAATTTTGAGAAGGTGCCAATTTTTGTCCAGTCCATTTTTTGGGTTTTGCGTGGAAGGTGTCAGAGTTGGCTTTTTGTATCTCCACTTACTGTGTCATACCAACACAAGACAAACATGAGAATGCCGAAACATTTGTAACTGCAACAATTTTCAGGGCAAGTAGTGCGTTCTGACAGAAATGAAGGGGTGCCAATATTTTGGCCATGGCAGATGTACGTATTTTATAGAATATGTACAATTGCGACACAAGTCATGTTGTAATTGGTTAAAAATTACCTTTCCTTTTCAAATCTGCAGTGCTGTAATTATCTGTAAAATGCAATATGGCAACCTGGAGGCGTTCTGTACACAGATGGTATACAGAATGCCCACCAGAAATGGCATTTCCTGATTGTGTGATTGGCCAGATACAAGTCAGATTTGGGCAACAAATGTAATTTTTAGTGAGATACTCCCAAAAAGGGAAAATACGTGTAAGGCTAGATTCACACCTATGCAGTTGGCGTTTGAGTCAGTTCTGAACATGCATTTGACGTGTTTTGCGTTTTTTTTTTTTTTTCACCAACTTGTTGCTGGGCAGATTAAAACCTCATCAAAAAACGCACTACATGCTTTTTGCACCGTCTCCAATGCAGTCTATAGAACCAAAAATGCAACGTTTTGCATTTAAAAAAGTCCAAACCTTTACAAAAAATGCATGAGGTAAAAAAAAAAAAAAAAAAAAAAAAAAAAAAAAAAAAAAAAAAATTAGATGTGAACCTGTCCCGTAAGAAGTCAAGTTATTGGACTGCTGTGCATTTTTGCAACGAAAAACACATTAGGTGTGAACCTAGACTTATGCAGGCCATAGACGATTCGTTTAATCGGCCTATTTTTTTGTCCGAAAAATGAAACATTGTTCGTTCTGTAAACCGATGTTGCCACCAAATGATTGCGAAAATTGGCCGTTTTTCACGAATTTTCCAGCATGACCGATAAAGGAAATGAGGAACCGCGAAAATCGGCCAATGCCATTGCCCCACTAACAGTGCAAAAAAATCGGCCAATTATTCTTTTGGACAAAAAAAAAAAAAAAAAAAAAAAAAAAAAAAAAAGTAGTAATCTGCAACAAAGTTTGTTAAAATCCCTGCAATGTACGTGGAATTTTTGTTTCCTCACCCTCCGCTATGTACTGCTTTCCCTTCTCCAGGATGTCATTTGTTAGCTGGCCTGTGCTGTTCAGATAGTCAAGTGCATATATAGTGGGAGCCACTTTCGCCAGACTTTGTTCAGCACATCCATAGGGCTTCTGGACCAAATCCTGAAGGTTTTTCAGTGGAAGTCCGAACACATCACCTAGACAAAGAATACATTGAGATCAGAGGAAAGTATGGCAAGATGTCCAATTCAGAATTCAGGCCAACTGCATAGCAGTAATGACTCAATTGCAGTGTAGCATCCTCCCAGATAGGTTGCTAGAAAGGCTAGGTAAAAATTAGTCTTTGGCTCCCGTCATCAGTGGAGCAGTGTGTGATTACTTTGGGCTGTTCTGGGATTCACTGGCTGCAGGTTTGATTGCTTCCCCCTGCCTTCTGGAGAATTCTAGAATGTAGTGGGCTAGAAGAGGCAAACCCACAGTCTGAATACTTATGTGGTCCCAGCCAATCCCCAGGGGAGGATACCTAGTAGGTGGCTAAGAGTGAAGAAAAAAAAATTGGGCCTTGTTCAGGAGGAGACGTTCCCAGTCTGATTCAGGAGGAGGAGGATACGTTCCCAGTCTGAAAGGCTGCTGCCCTTCTGGGCAGTGCAGCTGAAGTTCTTACAGGAGCTCATAGGAGGTCCCAGCTATGCTAGAGCTGGAGGGCCTGTTTGCTGAAACTTGTTGGAACTCATGGAGGATCTGGTCTGGAGAGTTCACAGGAGAGATTATGGTGGATATTGGAAGGAAGCTTCCAAATATCCAGAGATATTGTGAGTATAAACCTGAGTAACATCCCAGTAACTGTGTGCTGCTACTATTCCTTGCGGGTCAGAGCTTGCTCAAATTGCAACAGTTCCTATAGTATCTCAAGATTTACTTATTCTGGAGGGATTGAATTGTAGCACTACCCTCTTGAGGGTCACTGCATTTGTCTTGGGTCCCCCTAAGCTCTGCACAGCAAGGCAACACACATTTTCCACACTTGCGCAGCATCCGTAAACTGCTCGAGTTGTTTTATAGTTTTTATTAAAGTGTTAACTTGGATGGAGTCTAGGGATATATGGGATGCCTAAGGAACTGCAAACTTGAGTACAAAACTTCACAATACTGTACAAGAAACAAAAAAACAAGTGGATCAAAAATAGCAACTCTTAAGGAGCACTGAAGTCCCATTGATTTACATCCACAGAACCAAAATGAATCCTTCTCTTCACCCAGCTGCACTGAGGGTATTGCTGGGCAAGGGACTCCAAGATCTGCCAGTTAAGTAGTCCCAGATGAGAACTAGTTGCATCTGGTCTTGCATTAAGCTTACTCTCCCTTATCTGACCCAGGGGGTGTAGAAGTACTCAAAACTGTCCTGTCAGCTTGGTAGGATGAAACTGCTTTCTGGCCTTTCGCCAGTCTGGCTCCTTGCCAACAATGATAGTCTTACTTCCCTAGGAGACGGTGGGGACAGTGGAGATTCTCCTATCCAGCAACCAGCCTGCAGGTAGGATCTCCTCCCTGGGGCCCCCTCCCAGACTGCACACTGCAGTCTTCCACTCAGTCCATCTTCCTCCCCTGCTGCTCAGGCTCTGGAATGTTTAAGGCTTGTCCTTGGTCACCATGCCTGGCCTCCTGCTTGGGGATTGGCCAAGGTTCCTCAGACATGCATTTCTGGGCCTCCTCCCCTCTTCCAGAGTTCTCTAGGTTCCTGGAAGGGCTCCAGAAGCCCTGACCTGTGGGGCCTCCCACCCTGTCCTGAGGTGAACTCACTACCTCACTCCCAAGCAGACTCATCCCAGGCTGCTACCCAGCCACTGTCTAAGGAAAAGCAATAAAGTCTATCTAGCTTACCTAGAGAGAGTGTTACAGAATTAAGAAGCTCTGCCAAAGTGAAGAGTGTCCTCATTACTGTACAGAGTTTTTGGAGCATCCCACAGCTCCCCACACCTCATTCAAGTTCAATTTGCCATAAAGAATCAAAAAGACTAACCCTACTGTCCATTGAGCCAAAAAACCTTGCTGTGTGCCTGGCTGCCCCACACTTGTTTGTGAGAAAAACCTGTGGCAATTAGTGGTTCTTATTGGGTAAGGACTACAGCAGAAGGGACATTTTTACAGAAACTGGTAAGATTAATGGCTAATAGAGGCTGGACCAAACCTTGGGGTTCAAGTGTATCCACCATCAATACAAGTCAGATGCCATTGTTATGTTCTAGTTCCTGCACCAGCCTACCAAACACAACCACAAATTGCTCTACAAAACTGAATAGTTTGTGACTGGTGATACAAAATTACAGACAGCACAATTGGTTCTACAATAAAAAGTTACCAGATTTTCTAAATTAAATTCAGGGATACCCTGCTGACTGGTCCCACTTAACCACATTCCCCAAAAGAACACCACCCATTCATAGCCACACCTGCAAATCACGACTACATTTTTTAATGGCATCAGATAATTGGTCAGTGACTTTCAGAACAAGAAGCGGATATTGAAAGGTGTAAATACAATGAATTTAAAAGACACCAAGATAAGCATGCATAGTTCGGACAAATGCCTTGAAGGTATCAAGGAAAGAAAAAAAAAAAAAAAAAAAAAAAACACCACACATACAAATGGCTCCGGTGGAGCCAATTTTAGGTTCGCCACTGCACAGTACAACTGATGAGTTGGTGTCAGTGCAGTACACTACACCTCTGGGTGGCCAGGAAAGACTCCTTTAAAAACAGGGAATATCCCTGGGAAATGGGAACATATAGTAAACATATTCAACAACAGCCAGACCATGCAGATGAGGACTGGATATTTACTTCCCAAGCCAGTACTAATAAAACATGTTGGACTGGAGGCCATTCAGACCCAGCATCAGTCAATTATACCTGCACCCCATTCAAACCTAGGATCACTGTGCCTGGACATGGGATGTCTTCTGCCACCAAATTCCTATGTGGTTCCGAAAGGTCATGTGACCAAATGCCACACAAGGAAATGAATACTGGAAAACGTAAAGCTTCATGGTCTTTTGCATGGAACTATTTCTGTGGGTTAAAGAAAATGTTCTATTGAAAAAAAGGGCCAGTTTGTTTTGTGCCACCCCTCCCCCAGGCCAAAAAGGTTCCCAGTCATCTGAGACCATCTGACATTCTATACAAATCATAGACCATGTAACTGGTTCTGCATAGTTTAGACCTTCTGCCTAGTTCTACTAGCATGGATCACCGTGTAACTAGTTTTAAATGCCATCTATTAATCCTTTTAAAGCTAGCCATCCACATAGCAACACCCTTTCTATAGACTAGTTTTGTTAGAATCGTATAGTGTAAAAAGGTAACTAATCTGTACATTGGCATAGTGGTTTAAAAGATGAAAGACTATAAAATATTGGTTCATAACTCATCCCTGTTAAAACAGTTTGCCCTCATTTCATCCAAACTTCTAAAGCCATAACGGTTTCCCCATTGTGGATAAAATAAAGATGGGTTAAAATCCCTGGCAAGATTTTCTTCTCGTCATGTATCCCACTGGGGAGTTTCTCTACCTCCTGTACTGTAGATGCAATAGGAAATGAAAGAAAATCTGTCCAAAATGATGCAAATGTACTGTTCTAAGGACAAATAAAGAGGGTGAAGTTCTCTAATAGATGCACAGACAACAATGGAAGCTTGGAAGTCTAATCCTTCTGTACTACATCCATTACTGAAAAAAAAAAAAAAAAAAAAATAAAAAAATTGTAGTCTTTACATATATGTACTTAGTTAGGAAATTCAAGGCATGTTGAAGATTGTCAGGAAAATGTTCCTGATATGATAGAGGGTCGTTACATCATTGGGATGCGATAGAGCCAATTCAATTAGTCAACGTCTACCAAGTAGTATCTACTCAGTTTGACCATCCCTTTGAGCCTATGCAGTGTTGTTGGAATGTAGTGAAGGAGTCCTATGAAAAGAGAATAGTACAGCTATCAAGATCTACTTACCAACAGTAGTCACATAAGCCGAGATGGAATCAGGCACCACATTGCTTGGAGGGGTTATTTTGACTGGCAACACCGACTTCATGCCAGCTAAAGATGGGGGGGAAGCAAAAAAGGTATTCGTTTTAAAACCTCGGGGAAAGTAGCCAACAGCCAAAAAACATTTTCATATGGTTGATGTAAATTGGAACACATACTGTTGTATCTCTCAAGGCAGGATTTCTCTGGTTCTGAAATGCCAAAGCCATTAAAAAGCAAAAAAATGTGGTGTTACAACCCCAAATAGATCCCCGTTCATACAGAAAAAAGGGGAATTTAGTTGCCAGATTGTGAATTCTTCATTATGATCTTATAGGCGGACAATCTACTTCAGGGAAATATTGCAGAGAGACAAAATTTTAGGAAACCAGAGATTTCTTAAAAAAAAAAAAGTGTATCAATTTTGGATGGTGTTGATTTTTCAGAGATTTCTTAAAAAAGGTATCAATTTTGGATGGTGTTGATTTTTCTTGAGCAACAGCCAAGTGGAAGATGTATTATTACAGGAATTTGTGCAGTGCTATCAATTTACAGCACCTGTTCTCAGGAAGCTTGCAATTGGAGGTTCCCATCTCAAGTGCACAGGTACAAGGGCAAATTTAGACAGGAGCATATTAAACCTACCAGCATGTCTCTGGTGTGTGGTAGGAAACCGGAGTACCCAGAGGAAAGCCACACAAGCACAGGGAGAACATGCTAACTCCATGCAGGTTAGTGTTCTGGCCTGTATTCCAACTGAGGACCCCAGTGCTGGAAGGCACTGCTAACCACTAAGCCACCATGAGATTGGACCTCCACACATACAATAAAAAACCAAGAAAGGAAGACCAAAAATGGGGGGGGGGGGGGGGGGGGGGGGGGAGGGGCCTTTTTCACTTACGTTTCACATAGACTAGATCGCTCAAGGTTCGTTCTTGACTGATTCCTTCAGGCTAGTAAAGAAAAAGTTAAAAGTTTAAAAACACATTTGGAAAATATATGCATCTCACACGTCAGTACCAACCTTACCTCTACTGAAATGGTTTCAACAACAGTATCTTTGCGAGGAGTCTGGGAATCATCGTTGGGTCCGTCACATGACTGCCCAATAAAAGTGGTTTGGGCTGTCACTGTGAAGCTAAGCTCTCTGCAGAGAAAGCAGAATTAGCGGTCAGCGGCACTCACAGTAAAATGTGAAGGTAGTACATTCTGAATGTGCCTCGAGAAACACAAAACGGAATGAACACCTCTCCTGCACTGCGTTCTGTGACCTGGCTCTTAAGGAATGAGTTTTCAACGATCGCTTGGACGGACTGAGTAAATGATAGCTCGATGGATTGGAGTTGGTATTTCAATAGAACAGGGAAGCTCTGGAGAAATTCTTGATGTGAACATAGAAAAAGGGGCTACAATGGGGATAGAGAGCAGGAGGTATTGAAAGAGTGAAGGAGAATAGTTTGGGTGATCATTTTGAAATGAAACTGTTCTGTAGCTTGGGGGCAAAATATACATACACCAGACGACTGCAAGATGCATCTAAAGCCTAGAGATTGTTGCAATGCATACCGAGAACCTTTGACTGAACCTCCCAAGTAAAGGGGATTCTGTCTTTGGAGCACGCACAGGCATTCTGGGTTCCTTCCTTCAGTTCGGCAGCAAAAGAATCAGAAGGTTCCAAATTCACTTCCACCTGTCAGGGATAAGACAAAACAAAAAAAAAAAAAAAAAAAAAAAGGACAGTGGAAATAGTGACAGTTATAGAGCTCAGAGATGCACTTAAAGACCTGGTCACCAAATCATTAATTTCAAAAACAATCTTCCTCTAAGATTATATATCTATGTAATATATTTTGTTTATTTCAGGTACTTTTATAGCGCCGTCAATTTGCGCAGCGTTTACATATATATTGTACATTCACATCAGTCCCTAACCCCCAAGGGGTGTACAATCTAAGGTCCCCAACTCACATTCATACATACACATACTAGGGACAATTTAGACAGGATCCAATTCACCTACCAGCATGTCTTTGGAGTGTGGGAGGAAACCGAAGTACCCGGAGGAAACCCGCACAGGGAGAACATGCAAACTCCAGGCAGGTGGTGCTGTGGTTGGGGTTTATGTAAATAAGGATGCAGCGCTATGAGAATTATAAAGTGATGTGCAAGCGCTTTATGTGATACAATATAAAGTGGTTCGTCCAAATATGACGTGTTGATATAGTGTACAAATACGCATAAAATTCAAATGAAAAAAGTGACTTTGATGGTTAATAAAAATAAATCAAGTCCAAGAAAGAAGTGATTCATATCAAAATTCCATGACTGGAAGCTGGTAATATGATTGCACTAACCAGAAGCGCAATATAAAAGCACATTTGTGTATCTAGTTATCCCATCATGGTCATCTGGATGTGGATGTAGAAAATCTGGAACACGTCAGCATACGAGGCGATTAGCAGACCTCTCACACAACCTCCAGGGACATCACGTCTGATATCGCTGACCATTGGATGGGAACACAGTGGGCATTTGAAGAACTCCACCTTGGGGGCTCGTTAAATAACAAGCCAAAGAGAATTCTTGATAGTGCAGTATTTTTTGGTATAGCGAAAATAGTAACTTCAGAATGCACTCACATCTGGCAAAACAGAAGATGGCCGCTGGCCTTCCTTGCAGCCTCTGCGGCATGACGTCAACGGCTAGATTTTGAAAACTAGCACGAAACACGTTAGGGAGGAGCCTGGCTGTTGAGGTCACACTGCAAGGAAGGCCGGCGGCCATCTTCTGTTTTGCCAGATGTGAGTGCATTCTGAAGTTACCAATTTCGCTATCTGAAAATACTGCACTATCAAGAATTCTATTTTGTATAGCGAAATTCGTAACATTCAGAATCCACTCACATCTGGCAAAACAGAAGAAAGATGGCAGTCGGCCTTCCTTGCGGCCTCTGCGGTGTGACCTCAACAGCCAGGCTCCTCCCTAACACGTTTCGTGCTAGTTTTCAAAACCTAGCCATTGACGTCATGCTGCAGAGGCCGCAAGGAAGGCCGGCAGCCATCTCTTGTTTTGCCAGATGCGAGTGCATTCTGAAGTGACTATTTTCACTATACCAAATAAAAATACTGTACTATCAAGAATTCCTTGGTTCTTTATTTAACGAGCCCCCAAGGTGGAGTTCTTCAAATGCCCACTGTGTTCCCATCCAATAGTCAACGATATCGTGATGTCCCTGGGAGGTTGAGAGGTCTGCTAAAATCACCTTGTATGCCGACGTGTGCCAAATGATTTTCTACATCCAGATTACCATGATGGGAGAACTATATACACAAATGCACTTTTATATTGCGCTTCTGGTTACTGCAATCATATTACCAGCTTCCAGTCATGGAATTCACCATATGAATCACTTCTTTGGTTATTAAATTCAAATTAAATCAAGTCAAAGTCACTTGATTTCATTTGATTTAGTTACGTATTTACGTACACTAAATCAAATACGTCATATTTGGACGAACCACTTTATATTGTATCACATAAAGCACTTGCACATACTTCACTTTAATTCTCGCAACGCTGCATTCTTCTTTACATATCTATTCAGAGGGTTATAGGTTTCTCCTTGATGCAAGCTGCTTGTTACCTAGTGCTAGTTTACCTTCTTTTACTATACTTTGTCCATTGAATGTATTATACATTTACCTGTAAAAGCCTCCCCTAAAGCCTTGTTTAGGTATCCAAATACCACGACACTGCTGGGTGCCACCATCTTGGGTGTGATGTCAGCAGCTCCAGCACACTCAGTTATCATTCAAGTGACCCTATATTACTACCCTTCGCTCCTCCCCCAGCAGCTACATAAAATTATGCTGGGAGGCAAAGGGAGGGGTAGAGTAGCTGGGCCAGCAGAGACAGTAGTGCTAAGGAATTAACTCTTCCATATACTTTTTTTATACACTTGCAATGTGTCTGAACTTGCTAGAAAATCTGACTACTCTAGGAAAAAGGGGAAAACAAATGCACATATTGGGAAAAAAAAAAAAAAAAAAAAAAAAAAAAAAAAAGAAGATTTTTCTGTGCTTTTACATGCAATTTTTTTTTTTACATTTAAGTTGGTGACAGGGTTTCTTTTAAAGAGAACATTTCTGATTATACTTATTACTAGGCAGATGTAAAAACAGAACTTCAAAAACAAAAAACATTTTCTGATTAGGGAGAAAAAGGTTAAAACCTCCGTTATGTTTTGTTCAGTCTTTTGGGGAAATTTCCCTTTACCCTCTGACCACAGATGGCATTTTTTCAATGGAGAAAGATCTAAAACCTAACAAAGCATTCAACCCTTCCCTACAAAAACTATTAGGTCATACATGTTCCCTTTTTAACCAAAAAAAGTGATAGGATTAGTCTAATAATTTTGTAGACACATTTCCTGTATTACCCTGATGTGAGGTTGTATTTTGAGAACTCGGCAAGGGGGGCTGCCCTCGGCAAGGGGGCGGCTGCCCTCGGCAAGGGGGCGGCTGCCCTCGGCAAGGGGGCGGCTGCCCTCGGCAAGGGGGCGGCTGCCCTCGGCAAGGGGGCGGCTGCCCTCGGCAAGGGGGCGGCTGCCCTCGGCAAGGGGGCGGCTGCCCTCGGCAAGGGGGCGGCTGCCCTCGGCAAGGGGGCGGCTGCCCTCGGCAAGGGGGCGGCTGCCCTCGGCCTTAGTAAATGAGGTCAAGCTTCACTTTCCAAAGAACACCCAATCACATGCAAAGAAAATAAACAGCATTTTTGCTTGCACATGATTGGACCGAGTCCGCAGAGCTTCCCCTCAATTACCAAGTTCTGGAGCAAATGCTGTTGCAGAGTGCACATTTGCAGTTAGTAAATCCACCCCAATCAATGTAGCTCCATATGTAAGGCCCAGTAGCACCTTTCCATGTACTTTCTTGCCATGTGCAAGGTTCCCTTTAAGTGCATTTAAAGCACAAGTCAATAGCACAAAGATGCAAAAGAATTTGCCGGAGCAGTATAGTAGATCAGAAGCCACAGCTCACCTTGACACAATGATCCATATAGTTATGTACAACTCCTGTAAGGACCAAAGTCTCCCCTCTGATGATAGAGTAGGGCTTGGAGACCTCTATGAAGAACGGCAAAAATGTTGTATAGTTGGCTGAATATTTGGTCATCCCAAAACCTCCCTCATTGGACAGGCAGAATGCAGATCCTTGCCACTTAGTAATGGTGTCTGGGACAACCTCTGATAATGAAGCGTGACCATCTTTACTGAAAGACAAGAAAGAAACACAATCAAGTGGCAGTCTAAATATACTGGACTATTGAGTACTAAGGATGAACCCAAAAGGAATGAGTTATTGCCGGCACAATCCACTGGGGCCAGGTCATTACCTGGAGCTGTATGTACACAAAAAAAGGGGACAGGAATGCTCATAAAATCAATGACATAAGGCCATATTGGACCAATGTCATTAACTCAATATGGCCGTTGGATCTATTTTAGGTCAATGACATTGACCTACTATATCCATGTGGCCATATTAGATCAATGTCATCAATATTAGGTTACTGATGTCATGAGCACCCCCCTCTCCTTTTGTGTATGTTAATGTGGACCCAATATGACCACATGGCCATGACTCCATATAGGTCAATTTCATTTGATCTATATGGAGTCATTGATGTGGACCCAATATGGCCATTTGGTCATATTAAGTCCACATCAATGACTCCAAATAGGTCAATGAGATCACACGCCTCCCTACCACTTTATGTGTATGAGCTGAAGGGTGGGAAATGCCCTGGCCACACCAGATTGGGCAGGTGTTGACCGTTTCACTCTGGCTTCAGCCAAACCTAAGCTCATCCTTATCAAATACATTTTTGCCGTACATGCAGATTTCCCCATGTTGAAAACTGCTGGTCTGCCAGAAATTCAGTGAACTCCCAACTTGAAAGCAAATGTGGCCATTACTTCACTGGAATACCAACCAGTGTTGTCAGCTATGCCAGAGTTCTTCTTGGACTACAGAACTCTTATGCCCACCCTTGTCCACATGTATACTTTGATTTCTTTCCCAGCAGGAAAAAAAAAAAAAAAAAAAAAAAAAAAAAAAAAAAAAAGTCTGATAGACCGAGGAAGGCTTAGAATTGCATTTTTCCTAGTGCCACTTGCTCTCTAGACCGGAAGTATGAAAGCGGCCGGCCGTTCCTGATGACATTAGTGTGACAAAACTAGCTGGGTGGGGTTTAACCACTTCATGTCCAGACACTTACCCCCTTCCTGTCCAGGCTAATTTTCAGCATTCAGTGCTGTCACACTTTGAACGACAAAATTGCACGGTCATGCAACACTGTAGCCATATGAATTTAAAAAATAAATATTGAGAGAACTTATTTTGGTGGTATTTATTCACCACTGGGGTTTTTTTTTTTTTTGCTATATACAATGAAAAAAAGTCCAAAAGTTTTTTAAACACACACCATAGTGACACTGTACTACTTGTGGGTGTTGAAGATTTTTTTTTTTTTTTTTTTTAAACACGGATTGCTTTTACACCCATAAAGGCTGTAAAAGCAATAATTTCTCCTTCTCTGGCTGCATTCTTGCAGCCATTGAGAAATACTTTGAGAGCTGTGATTGGTCACAGCTTGTCACATGGTACAAGGCTGTTGTAAATAGCCTTGTACCATGTGATCTCTGCTTACTACATGTGAAATCTGAATGATCACAATGTCAGAAGTGACATCTTGCTTACACCTATTCATGTGATCACTGATTGGCCAATCAATGATCACATGATTGTGACCTCGCACAGAGGTCCTGTACAGCGATCTGTGTTCGGAAGACACATCGGGCACCAATCGAGGTGCAGCGCACTCCCAGGGAGCGTGCACAGGCAACGTTTAGAAACGTCCTCCCGCATTGGCAGCACTCCCATCCAAACTGATGGGCACGGTTTATGAACGCCAACCCACCCCTGCACTGCCACCGCCTGGCCGTTTATATACATGGGCCGGATGGGAAGTAGTTAATACATCACTTCTGCTTTCATACTTCCAGTCTGTGGAGATCGGGTGGCTCCAAAAAGCGATTTAACGCGCCGTAGCTTGTGTATATACAAGCACTTAAGTATTTTCATTGTCTTAAATTGTCAAACGTAGAATTACACTATTGTAGGCTGCCTCTTTGTTTTGTTTTTTTGCCATTGCATATACAAACTAGAGGAAAGTTTATGAAGCCGTGGTCCTGAGGAGTGAATCTGGATAATGCTGCTGGAGGGAGGATACACTCAGTGCTAAAAGACCCTTTTTAAAAAAAAAAAAAAAAAAAAAAAAAAAAAAAAGGGGGTCATGGAGATCTGGTGAGTGCGGGGTCTCATGGAAATCTGGTGAGTGCGGTGTTTCAAAGGGGAGCACATATCAGTCACAATAGGATACTGAATTTTCTACCTCTGGGCACAAGACTTCTGTTGCAGACTTGCACAGACATTATATGGTTTACAATATTTATGCACTATATTGCAGTGATTGTTATAGTTGAAATATTGGGATTTACTAAAACTGAAGAGAGCAAAATCTGGTTCAGCTCTGCACAGAAACCAATCAGCTTCCAGATTTTGCCAAAGCTGGATTGGAACAAGCTGAAATTAGAAGCGGATTGGTTACCATGCACAGTTGAACCAGATTGAGTGCTCCAGTTTTAGTAAGTCTTCCCTATTGCATGTTATTTATGCACTCTGATAGGATGCAGAGGGAGGTGCATTGTGGTACAGTTCCATGTGCATGGAGTCACTAAAAGGGAATTTACTTATTGTAAAGGAGGTGGTGTTTTAGTATTGCAAGTGCCACACCATGTTGTCTTTACATAAATAGCATGTGCTCCCTTTAAATGGTATCCTCTATGCTCTAGTACAGGGGTGTCTGAAGGAGGACCAGGAGGGTGGCTACAGTCAGCGTTTGAAACCTTTTGATCACCCCTCTTTAACCCCTTCCTGCTCAGTACCATTAGTATGGAGTCAGTGCTTTTTATTAGCTCTGATCACTGTATTGGCGTCACTGGGGATGTCAGTGACACCAAGTCAGTTTCCCCCCAGTATCAGAATGCCCGCTGCAGTCCAGCTATAAATCACTGCTATTACTAGTAAAAAAGAAATAAAACCCAGTATATATACACTCCGCCATTTGTAAATGCTATAACTTTCACGTAAACCAATTTACAGATATTCGGATTTTTTTTTGCAAAGACATGTAGCAGAATACATTTTGGCCTAAAATTGATTTTTTTTTTTACTGGACATGTTTAATAGAAAAAAGAAAAAAAAAAAAAAAAAAAAAAAAAAGTAAAATTTATTTTGGGTACAGAGTTTCGTGACAACGCTATTGTCAGTTAAAGTAACGTAGCACCATAATGCAAAAAAATGGACTGGAAAGGAAGGAAGGAAGGGGGGGGGGTGTAAATCAACTGGAGGGCAAATGGTTAATATCTACCTAAATTAGATTACTAATTACATATTGAGTTTGCAGCTTAAATACTGAAATTTTCTATTTAAAGAAAACTTTATGTAACTTTTGGACATTCCAGTAAAAACTTGGCTGTGCCAGTGAATTTCAGCCTGGTAGGTTGGCAACACGGACCGCACCATTTTTGGTTTTGAACAGAAGTGAAAATACAAGCAGTATCGGCTTTCTATGAAGGATTTAGGTACTCACTTCACATTAACCAGGATCCACATGAAAGTGTCAGAGAAGTTCGTCCGAACGGTTTCAATCACAGAACTTACACCACCCACTCCAGAAGACCGATCTGCTGCAAATTTGAGGCTAGCGCTTTGTGGTACCGCTCCTCAGGGAAAAAAAAAAATAAATAAATAAATCTGAGCATAAAATGTAACAAAAAATGACCTTTTACCTGCTTAATTGATGAAGTGGAAGGAAAATGATAAATGGTTTGATTTTTTTTTTTTGTGTAAATATCTGAAAAGTGTGTCGTGCCTGTAGTCAGCCCCCTTTACTCGGATACCCCTAACTAAAATCTAATGGAACCAATTGCCTTCAGAAGTCACCTAATTAGTAAATATAGTCCACCTGTATTTAATTTAAGCTCATAAACACAGTTCTGTAACGCCCTCAGAGGTTTGTTCGAGAAAGTTAGTGAGCAAACAGCATCATGAAGTCCAAGGAACACAGACAGGTCAGGGATAAAGTTGTGGAGAAAAGTTTAAAGCAGGGTTCGGGTATAAACATTATATTCCAGGCTTTGAATATCTCACGGAGCACTGTTCAATCCATCATCCGAAAATGGAAAGAGTACGGCACAACTGCAAACCGACCAAGACATGGCCAACCATCTAAACTGACAGGCTGGGCAAGGGGAGCATTCGTTAGAGAAGCAGCCAAGAGGCCCATGGGAACACTTGAGGAGCTGCAGGTGGGAGAATCTGTCCACAGGATAACCATTAGTCCTGCATGCCACAAATCTGGCCTTTATGGAAGAGTGGCAAGAAGAAAGCCATCGTTGAAAGAAAGCCATAAGTCGTCCCGTTTGCGAGAAGCCATGTGGGAGACAACGGAAACATGTGGCAGAAGGTTTTTTATTTTAAATTTTTTTTTAGAAGTATCTTTACTTTTAGATTTGGAGGGATACTATATATTTTGTAATATCTTCTCCTTTTTTACCCTATGTATTTTATCTTAGATTACTACATTGCAGTTGTATTCATTTTTCAATTACATGTGGTATCTATGTGTAAGGTACGATATGCATATGTGGTCACTAGATGGTGTTTATACTATCCCATGTCATGTGACTATGTATATACACTTTGAGATTAAATAGATTTTGTCTTCAATTAAATCAAATGGTTCTAATGTATTCCATTTAGTTCTACAGAGGCACAATCGCCAGGTATTGGAAATTTTATATTTACCATTTGTTGATTGGCCGTGTGGTGATTACATCAGAGTAAAAAGTACTTCTGGGGTTCTTTTGTCTTTAAATATGGAGATTGCTGACATTGCACGAATGATCTCTAGTCCCAGAGGATGTCATTTTTGGAGAAACATGTCAGGCGGCGTCTATGATGTCATCACGCATCAGCTGACGGACAGACACCGTGGCTGCTTGGTTTTGTTCCACTGCTTTCTTTGATCTCAACCGAATGCAAGTGCATTATTTTAGCTACAATAAACTTCTATTTTTTTTTTTAATGGGGTTCCACTATGAAGTTTCTCCTGTCTAAACCCTTCCATATATGACTGCAGAGAGCGGTTTTAGGTGGAGAAACCAGTTCCTGGTGTGAGCATGGCGTTATCCATCCACCCCCTCTAGATTTGTCAGTGACAGTGTGGAGCCTGGACACCATCTGCCCATTTGATCTCTATAGCTTGAGATAAATGTGGTTTGGTAAGGAGGCTTGCCTTTTTTCCGAGGAGAACAGCAGCACTTTTTCTTCACATTGGATTGGGGACTACATACATACCGTACAAATTAACATATACATGTGAATGTCAACTTGCACAGGTTTTATATATATTTTTTTATAGGATTTAATTTTAAGTAAACAGCGCATTTTACACGTGTTGCAATTATTGTATTCTGGTATTCAGGAAGTTAGTATCAGTAGTTCACTTTATATCCATTTATTCTCACACATTTTCATTACACCTGATATTGGGCTTAGTGCAGGATTTTTTCCTTTTTTTCATATGTAAAAGAAGGTGCTCTGGTCAGATGAGACCAAAATTATATTATACAGTATTTATATAGCGCCAAAGGGTTTGCTCAGTGCTGTACATTAGCGTGGGGGACAGAACATGACAATACAATACACGAGGGGTTCGAGGGCCCTGCTCTTTCGAGCTTACAACCTAGGAGATTGAAATTTTTGGCCTGAAAGAAAAAAAAAAAAAAAAAAAAAAAGTGGCAGAAAACACTGCACATCAGCCTGATGACACTATCCCCACCGTGAAACATGGTGGTGGCAGGATCATGTTGTGGGGATGCTTTTCTTCAGCAGGGACAGGGAATCTGGTCAGAGTTGATGGGAAGATGGATGGAGCCGAATACAGGGCAATCTTAGAAGAAAACCTGTTAAAGAGTCTGCAAAAGGCTTGAGACCGGGACGGAGGTTAACCTTCCAGCAGGACAACGACCCAAAACATCCAGCCAGAGCTACAATGGAATGGTTTAGATCAAAGCAAAAGTCATGTGTCAGAATGGCCCAGTCACAGTCCAGACCTAAATCCAATGGAGAGTCTGTGGCAAGACTTAAAAATTGCTGTTCACAGACTCTCTCCATGCAATCTGACAGAACTTGAGCTATTTTGCAAAGAAAAATGGGCAAAATGTTCACTCTAGATGTGTAAAGCTGGTAGAGACATCCCCAAAAAAAGACCTGCAGCTGTAATTGCAGCAAAAAGTGGCCCTACAAAGTATAGACTCCGGGGGGCTGAATACAAATGCCGCCAAAGTTTTCACAGATTTGTAAAAAGTTTTGAAAAACATTTATCATTTTCCTTCCACCACAATTATGTGCCACTTTGTGTCGGCCCATCACATAAAACACATTTACATCTTTGGTTGTAACATGACAAAATGTGGAAAATTTCAAGGGGTATGAATACTTTTTCAAGGCACTGTGTGCTATAGATATATATATGAAATGTAATTTATTTTTAATACAAGTTTCTCTCTCACTGCTTTATGGGCAGTGTAGTTCATCTTTGCAGATGAAAATGTAAACCGTGAACACACTGTATCCGCATCCCGGAAGGTAAGTACAGAGGGGTATAGGGGGGTGGGGAGGGTGTATGGTGTTCATTCATCAAAAAACAAACACTTTATATAAAATTGAGTGGTTTTACCTCCTTTTTTTAATCTGCACGTTTAGCAGCTTGTCTGGAGTACCGCTTTAAAGCTTGGTTTACATCTGTGGGGGTGGTGCCGCTGTGGATCCACACAAAAAACCGTGCGGACGCACCACCCGCACAAAGGAATGCGGACCCGTGGGCGGGTGCCAATTTTAATGGCACGCCGCCCGCACTGGAATACGCAACCGTACTGGGAAACGAGGCTGCCGTGCGGGCTGCGTTTTCCAAAGAAGTGCAGGGACTTCCCTGCATGTCACAGGGCATGGGCGTCAAAAAAAAAAAAAAAAAAAAAAAAGGCTCTCGTGCCCACGCAAAAAACGCAGCCCACATATGTGAACCAGGGGTAATAAAACGTCACTTGTCTACAGAAGATGTACATTTATAGGACTGAAATCACATTGGTAGTGCACTCAACTGCCTTATTATGAGGAAATACCCATTTTGTTGGCTCTACAATTTTAGATTCAGGCTTTACCTTCTGCGAGTGGAATTGTGGGATACTTCGACTGCTCGGGATTGTTATCACAGACCTTTGGTTTTCTCACTTGGTCTCCTGTTGCAAAAATCAGTCCAACGTTCTGAAATATGAGGTGAAAAATAAAAAATAAGCATTTTGACACAGAAAAGAAAAAAAAAAAAAAAAAAAAAAAAAAAAAACACACCACACACGTAACACTAATCCGCCATAAAATTATGACCACCCACCATGACCCCTTTAAGGCATGGAATCCACTAGACCTCTGAAGATATATCTGGCACCAAGCAGTCAGCAGCAGATCCTTTAAATCCTATAAGTGGTGTCATGTGGCCACCATGAATTGGAGTTTTTCCCAGCACATCCGACAGATGCTCCAATAAATTGAGATCTGGAGAACTTGGAGGTCAAGTCAACACCTTTTGTCCCTCAAAACTAATTCTTGAATTCAGACCAGGCCACCTTCTTCCATTGCTCCGTGGCCCAGTTCTGATGCTCACATGCCCATTGTAGGCCCTTTTTGGCTGTGGACACGGATCAGCATGGGCACCCTGACAGGTCTGTAGTCCCATACACAAACTGCTGAAAAAGTGAATGCTGGTTCTGATAGGTGTCAGAACACACTGTGCATCCATTTGACCTCCGCAGACCAGGAAGATCCCACAAGAGCTGCAATTTTGAAGTTGTTCTGACCCAGTCATCTAGCCATTACAATTTGGCCCTTGTTAGAATATAAATGTTACGGCTGATCAGTGTTCAAGGATGTTCACCTAGCCATATGGAAAAACTGACTACTTTCCCAGAAGTCTAATTTTTTTTTTTTTTATTCTAAAAAAAAAAAAAAAAAAAAAAAAAAAAAATCAGTCAGCAGGGCTAAAAAGATTCATCATGAAGGTTAGACCGAGCGGGGGGGGGGGGGGGGGGGGGGGGGGGGGGGGACCGACCATTCGGGCAGTGCCCAAGGGCCCAGGGTCAGTAGGGGGCCCCCATGAGATGCCCCTGGCACCTTTCATAGGCTTTTTTGGGTGTGGTTGGAGTGTGGGCGAGGACACAGGGGCCCCATGATCCCCCATTACCCGGGGGCCCCATGAGTTAGCAGACATATCACACAGATGCATCTATGTATACACCCATGCAAAGGAAGGTCTTTGCATACAGATGCATGAACACCTATGCGGACAGTCGCTCCCACTTAAGTCTACTGGGACATGGTCCCAATTTGACAGATGTGGTTGTGTGTCCCCAAACCACGCACTGTCTCCCGCACAGCTATCAATTTGGTCCCAATTTACATGAATGGGACTGCCTTCACACCTTGTGCATCCCATGTGGGCAAGGTGGGCCTAAGGTCTCATACATAAGGATGGCGACTGAGATGGTATAAATTCTGGGAGTACAGATCTAAGTATTCCGGTTCACAGGGAGCCACAGGTCCTGCATACAGCCTGCCATACTCTTGTAAAATGTTGATTGTTTGCATCAGCATTTACTAGGGAACAATGCATCTCCCAAAACTTTCATATGCTACACACACGTACAGGTAAAAACCCAATGCAAAAAAGCACAGACATTTACAGGAGTATAAGTATTCACTTTTATGGCAGACTGTACATGTCACCTGCCGCTCCCCCAGAAAAATGCAGATCTAGAAATCCAGCTGATAACATGCAAGTGCTTCTGCATGTGATTCAGTTAACTTTTTTTTGCTTTAAATCAAGCTTAAAACCCCTTATCTACCGGGCACTTTCACCCCCTTCCTACCAAGCCCAATTTTCAGCTTTCAGTGCTGTTGCACTTTGAGTGGCAATTGCACAGTTATGCAACACTGTACCCATATGAAATAATTTTTTTTCCCCCACACACAAAATAGAGCTCTTTTGGTGGTATTTAATCACCGCTGGGGGTTTTGCGCGAAAAAAAAAAAAAAAAAAAAAAAAAAAAAAAAAAAGAAGAAGGAGTACCAGGGGCATCTCATGGGGCCCCCTACTGACCTCGGGCAGTGCCCAAGTTTCCAAATGGTCAGTCCGCCCCTGCATAGGACACAACTATAATAATAAAAACAATATACAACAACAAAAAAAAAAAAAACACACCCCCAAACAAACCATAGAACAGCATTTTTACCGACGATCCCCGCAGGATGGATCCGATCCATCCTGCAAGGATAGTCTGCTTGCTTTACAACTTACCTTTTCATGGAGCGTGTTCGGTGTCACCCCGTATAGGTTGCATGCTGATGATCCCTGCAGGATGGATCCAATCCATCATGCTCAATCCGCAGATCCGATCCATCCTGCGGAGATAGTCTGCTTTCTTTACAACTTACCTTTTCGTGGAGTGGGTCTGGTGTCACTCCGTATAGGTTGCATGCCGACGATCCCCGCAGGATGGATAGGATCTGCGGATTGGAAAGCATAAAGGATCGGACTCCGATCCATTATGCTCAAGCCACAGATCCAAACCATCCTGCGGGGATCGTCGGCATGCAACCTATACGGAGTGACACCGGACCCGCTCCACGAAAAGGTAAGTTGTAAAGAAAGCAAACGATCCCTGCATGATGGATCGGATCTGTGGGGATCGTCGGAGGGGGTGTCACCAAGTGTTACCGCACCGGGTGACCCAAACCCTAGGGATGCTCCTGGGTGCAGGGGCAGTTTTGGGTAGGCAGCTGCCAATGCCTAGCCCCTGAGAAGCATGAGAATCTACCCTACAATCAAAAAGGTCATTAAATGAGCGAGGGCTTTAGTGTGCAGACAGTTAAATACGGCCAATACCTTTTTTTTTTTTAGGGTGCAATTCCAGGGTAAAGATTTCCTTGAACTTTCTGATCTGCTCATGGTTACTCCAAGATTCTGTTACACATTACATTGGTCAGCTACAGGTCATTCGGCTTTATAAATATTCTCACCTTAAGATTTTGGTTAGCTGTCACCTTCAGAGCCGCTGCTCACAGGTAAATAGTAGTTCCCGTTGTAGAAGACCAATTTGTTCGGATCTAGACACTGGGGCTCTGGATCCTCCACGTTAAAACCAGCAATATTGTAGCCCCCATAGTATCCGTAGGAAAATAAGCCATGGACCTGTTACACAGACATCACATTAGCTACAGACACAGGATCTAGTAAACTTTTATGTTCAAAAAAGGTATTAAAAAGGACATCTTACAGCAAAAAAGTTTGTTTTATGTGGTTGCGGGAAGCATTGCAAGATATTCCTACCAGAGATTCCCATTTTTACCCAACGGTCATTACAAAACGATAGTGTCATTCTTCCATGGTAGGTTGCCCATAATTTAGGCGAAACCAAATGTAAGTTGTGAGAGATCGATTCTTGTTGCTGCATCATGGAGGGGCAGGAACATGCAAAGGTTGATGCAGCTAGACCCACAACCTCTCCTACTTACCCAAGCCAGATCTTGATCCAGCGATTTGTATGAGAGCAGCTTCTCTGGGCTCTCTCCCTAGTTGCCAAATCACAGTTAGTGAGAACCACACTAACAACACACACACACACACACACACACACACACACACACACAGTGTCCCCGTACAGAGCAGGCAATTTTTTTTACTTACGTTTTGTTAAAAGAAAAAAAAAAAAAAAAAAAAAAAAAAAAAAAAAAAGGATGGACTTTACATTTTTAGTAAAGCTACACTTTAAGGATATCCCTAAAATACATGCATGAGGCACTTAGTTTTTACCAGCCAAATAACCATCAGTTTTGTTTGGCCAGTTTTACGATCTAGGCATCCTTATCAGACAGGAAAAGTCAGACAACTCACCTATTTCTTAGTGCAGTTAATGAACACACACACACGTTGCTTAAAGTAAACAGTTTGTAGTGGCTCTAAACCACCGCTAGCTGTCAACATACAACAGAATAGGAACTTGTGATTTTTTTTTTCGTCCTAAATATAGGTATAGAACAGCTAGTATAAAGTTTCTGCTTTCAGCGAGACTGCTAGTTTGGCAACATGGTGGCTTAAATACGCACTCCTCTTAGTATCCAAAAGAGGAAAATGCAAAAGGGGTGCTTGTTCTGACCCACTTATATGAAATTTTTGGTGCTGTATTGAACTGTTAAGTTGCCTTGTTTGGGCCACTACAACTTGCTTACTTATGTAAAATTTAGTATCTCCATCTGTCCCCCCCCCCCCCTCCTGTCTCATTCTAGTCCTTTTAGCCCTACCTAGACCCTCTGTTTCCTCCATGTACCCTCAGTGTTAGTACTTCCGAGACAGGGTTTAGGAAATTCTTACATATTAAAAATACAAAAAAAAAAAAAAAAAACTCCAACAAAAAAAACTCCCAAAAAAAACCACACAACCAACCAAAGACTCCCCCCCCCCCCCCCCGCCCCCCCCCCCCCCAATCCAAAAACTCCCAAACCCCCCCCCCATCCAACCAAAAAAAACCAACCACTCTGTACTGCAGTTAGCTGAAGTAAAATAGTGTGGGACTCAACTTCTGTTTCTTATTGGAAAGTTAAGCTGCCTGTGGATGGTGCCAAGTCAGCAGGAGAGATATCAACATCTAATGCAATATTTGAAACAGACGAGTGCTGAAAAGTAAGTACCGAGAAGGAAACCATGGCTTAAAACTGGTTTGCTGTGTCTAGCAGAGCAGCAGATGCATGGATTTGGCCTCTGACTGCTAAGTGTATTAAACCCTAGCTTTACCTCCAAAAAAAAAAATAAAATAAAATTTATATATATATATATATATATATATATATATTTTTTTTTTTTTTTTTAATGCTGCAAGCAGTAATTTCTCATTCACTACCACTGGAATGAAGGCCTGGAATTAGCAGCTGAAATGTACATTGAACCCGGCTAATCTCCTCCAAATTAAGCTAACGGGCAAACAAACGACTTACATTTTCAGGTGAAAACCGCTCATAACTGTTAAGTAACAAGAGGCTGGAGTCAATCACTCTGAGCCCACAAATGGATTCTGGATCAGCTGAGAGTATAACTTCAACAGTGGATCCCGGCATTCCCTTTTCGGCTGCGAAAGCCATGTCAACCTACGTGGCAAAAAGCACAAGCAACATTACAGAAAAGCAAAAAACTTTTTTAATCAAATAAATCATAATACATTTTTCAATTAAATTTATTATTAGAAAAAAAAAAAATTCAGTTAGCTTTTTGCGGTGCCAACAAAATGTTCATACAAAAATGCAATAAAATATTTAAGAACACCAAAAATGTGCTACAATTTCAGCTATGATAATGATTTAAACTGTATTTACTCACACAAAACAATCATGCAAATATATCAAAAGTGCAAAAAAAAAAAAAAAAAAAAAAAAAAGTGTTTCAATCCAGCCCTTGTATTCCCAAAAAAAAAAAAAAAAAAAAAAAAAAAAAAAGTCTAAAAACAAAGTAATCACCATGTGATCACTCTTCCACATTGAATGAAGAGTGTTCAAGTGGATTATGTTTGAACTTTTTTTTTTTTAGAACACAAGGGCTGGATTAAAATACATTTTTGCACATTTGATTGATATATGAACGATTTGAGGTTTACGATATTTACAATTTTTTCACATATTGTAGCACATTTTAAGTGGTTTAAATGTTTAACTACATTTTGTATGAAAACATTTGTTATCAGCGCTGCTCAAAGTGAAGGGAGTTTTGTATTATTTCTTTGGGTGAATCACAGCATGTGCTAGCTGCTTAATACCTCATAGATCCAAAACAAAATGGAGTGGTGACATTCTAGTTTTCAAATATATATTAATTGAATATAACCTCAATATATAAAAATGTAGTAGTGTTAACATATTATTGGCATAAAAAAAAAAAAAAAAAAAAAATTTACTTTGTTTTTGAAGCAATTCTCTATTTTCAGATTGGTTGTCTCCACAACAAGCTCTCCCTTCAGGATGCAGTATACGACCAGGTTGGCACTGGGCGCCATGTCCGGGGATATAGGTAGGGCGATGGTCACAGAGCCATTCTTTGCTGTAAAGAAGAAAACAGCGTTCATTTACACACAGGTACCACATCGGCTTTATCACTTGGATTCAGATTCTAAAGTATTGTGCAGAACAAAATACCATTTTAGTGTTTAAAGTCTTGTTAACTATTGTATTAACCACTTGCCCTCCAAAAAGATTTACCCCCCTTCCTGACCCAGACACGTTTTGTGATACGGCGCTGCGTTACTCTGACAATTGCATGGTCATGCAACGCTGCACCCAAATGAAATTTATGTCCTTCCTTCCACCCCCAAAGCTTTCTTTCGGTGGCATTCGATCACCTCTGCGGTGTATTTTTTGCGCTATAAAAAAAAAAAAATAAAAAATCCTGCTACAAAATATTAACTTAAAATTCAAAAACGTGTAAAATGAATTTTGTTTTTGGGATTTTTTTATGTAGTCTACAAATGGTGGTATAGATACACTGGAATTTTTTATATTATACTAGTAATGGCGGTGATCAGAGACTTATAGCGGGACTGCGGTGGGCAGACAAGGGGGGGGGTGGGGGGGGGGGGGGGGGGGGGGGGGGGGGGGGGGGGGGGGGGGGACTGACTAACTACCACTGACACCAATACAGTGATCAGAGCTAAAAAAAGCACTGACACTGTACTAATGCAATGGGCAGGAAGGGGTTAACATCTGGGGTGATCAAAGGGTTAACCGTGTGCCAATTTACATTATGTAATGTGTGCGCTTAACTAGGGAAACTTGCTGCTGTGCAGAGAAATACACAGCAGCATGTTTTGGCTGGCAGGAGAGAGACCAGTCTTGTTTACACACAGGTCTCTCCCCTGACAGTTTTACTTGCCGATCGCTGGGTGCCGGCGGAGAATCTCTGGCCGGGACACTGATTGACATCTGTAGCCACCAGTGGTGGCGCACATGCCACCTAGTCGGAAATGCCAATTTATATATGAACTGCACACGTAACTTTGATCTGCTATAGGGCAGGGAAAAAAAAGGAGGTTAAGAGAGACTGAAACAGCCCCCCCCCCCCCCCCCACACTAATCCAGGTATGCATTTCTTAATTCAAAGTCTCTTCTGTTGCCCTCGGCCTCCTCCAAATTCCTTGTTTGCTGCTGTGATCTGACTTCCTGTTAGAGGGTGGCTATCTTCATCCTCCGTGGTCCCACTGTATGTGGGGGGGGGGGGGGGAAGAGGAGAGGTTCAGGAGCTCATGGAGGATGTTACAAGGAACCATGAATACAAAATTACAGGGCCCTTAGGTAGTAAATGTGTAAAGATTAAATTTTGGCGTCACTAAGCTTTCATACAACATAAAATACTTACAGTTGGCGAAATCAACATCTTGCTGTCCATTGTGAACAATGTTGGATTTTGCCAGAACCTAAGAAAAAAAAAAAAAAAAAATAGTGCCTTTATTATTAACCACGTACAAAGATTGACCCCTTTGCTGGCACTACTTTTGTTCTAAAAATCATTTTAGATCTGGACACACACACACACACACACACACACGCACACGCACACGCACGCAGAGACCCTAGAAAAAAAAAAAAAAAAAAAAAAATTGTATAATATATATTTTTTTTTTTTTATTTGTATTAGAAAAGAATCAAAAGTTAGTTTAGTGCACACAAACTCAACATAAAATATATAACACAGTTTTTATGGTATAATGTAAAAAAAAAAAAAAAAAAAAAAAAGGCAATACAATACATAAAGTAGAATAGACACACACACACCACACACACACACACACACACACTAATTGCAATAATTCTAGGGCCTAAAGGATTTTAAAGCGTCACCCATTGACAACTTACAGTATTGTAGTTTGTTGCCATTTCACAGGCAAGACCAATTTTAAATCTTGACGTTTGGAATCTACTTTTAGAACATTTTATATTGAACCAAAATACGGGTTTAGAGTTTGTGTGCACTAAAATTAATGTAGTGTACTTTTCCTAAAAATTTGGATTTAACGGCAAATATAGCGCGACATAAAAAGTTGCAACAGCCATCAAGGGTCTCCAGGTTTCAGAAAATATATAATTTTTCTACGTTTCTAGCAGCATATGTGATGGATGGACGGAGCCATGGGATTTAGGAATTTGCACATAAGTGAGGCAAGTAACCATCAGTATGAGTAATTGCTGAATAAAAAGTTAGTTAATTTAAGGGGGGGGGGGGGGGGGTGAGTGAAGTGGCCAACTTTAACCTCCTCCAAAAGAATAGAAAAGAAAAAAAAAAAAAAAAAAAAAAAAAAAAAAAAAAGTGAACACAGTATTGTAAGTTAAACAGTTGTGAAATCTGTGGATTAGCACAGCAAACACATAGAAAAAGGAGTTGACTTTTGAAGTGTAGCTACAGCATCTTTGCAAAAATTCCACGTTTTCACAAGACGAAGGGTCCGTTTTTCTTTCCCATCATACTCACTTGATAATAGAGTGTGACTGAAGTTGCTCCTTTTCCGACACCATCCTGGCTCAGGATATACTGCACCTCAATATTGTGGCTCTTTCCACAGCTTAACTCTTCTTTGGGGCGCGCCACCTGCAGGAAACTACCCGATTGAGAGTAAAAACGGTAAGCGGTGTATTCAGTTGATGGATAGTCTGTGTCCCTCCAGTCAGCATAATAACATTGGTCGGAGTTCTTATAACTGAGCTGTAGATGCAAAAAAAGAAGATTCAGAAGCAGTAAAATAAAAAAATTGCATATCCAACAATTACACATCAGGGTACAACCATCCCTAGCAAACACTATGTGGTCACACTCTTGATTCTGTAACAGTTTTGTAGAACCATGAGGAGCTCTTCAAGGGTACCCAACATACAAAATTTCATTTTTGGACAGCGTATGGAAGGGTAAGTGAGCTTTTTATTATTGCTTGGTGTTCTCCATCTGCAGAGATTCACCTTCTCTATTGGTGACCACTGACACAATTTTAAAGGAAAAAAAAGGCTAAGATTTTCAGTTATCACTGGAACAGATGGTCTTAATGAGGACATCTGTTGCAGTGACATCAGTGCTGGATTAAACTCTGTGTAGGCCCCTAGGTAGTCAAAACTGTGGACATCCCTCACCTCACAAGCCAATATTCTCCCAAGATCTGGACTTGGTGGAACTCACAAAAAGGGTTTGTTTCTGGAGGTTTCTCGTGTGTGCTCTAGTGGGATAACATTGAGCCAAGTAGTGTGCACGTTGGCCGCTAGATTGGAGATGACCGTCACTATTGTACATTACACATATGTACCGTATTTTTCGCTCCATAAGATGCACTTTTTTCCCCCAAAAAAAAGGGGGGAAAATGTCAGTGTGTCTTATGGAGCGAATATAAAGCAGCCGGTCCGGTATTTCTGCCGCCACCATGTCAGAATACCGGGCCGGCCGCTCAGCTGTTCTCTCCTGCAGGGCCTTACCTGTTCCTCGCTCCAGCGCTGCACAGTCTTCCCGCGCTGGCTTCTGTGACAGCCGGATGCCCACTGTGCATGTGCTGCGCTTTGTGAATGATCCGGTGTCTTCTGGGACACATGACAGGTCCCAGAAGGCGCCGGGCCATTCACAAAGCGCAGCGCTTCTCACGCATGCGCAGTGGGCACCCGGCTGTCACAGAAGTCGGGGCGGGAAGAAGAGGGAAGGAAAACTCCGCAGAAGTGGGAGCAGGTACCTGTCAAATTCAGGTACCCGCTCCCCCTCCCTCCCCAAAGGTCAGCAGTCCCCGGTCATCCCCTGTACTGTGTCCGCAGTCCCCGGTCATCCCCTGTACTGTGTCCGCAGTCCCCGGTCATCCCCTGTACTGTGTCCGCAGTCCCCGGTCATCCCCTGTACTGTGTCCGCAGTCCCCGGTCATCCCCTGTACTGTGTCCGCAGTCCCCGGTCATCCCCTGTACTGTGTCCGCAGTCCCCGGTCATCCCCTGTACTGTGTCCGCAGTCCCCGGTCATCCCCTGTACTGTGTCCGCAGTCCCCGGTCATCCCCTGTACTGTGTCCGGTCCCGGTCATCCCCTGTACTGTGTCCGCAGTCCCCGGTCATCCCCTGTACTGTGTCCGCAGTCCCCGGTCATCCCCTGTACTGTGTCCGCAGTCCCCGGTCATCCCCTGTACTGTGTCCGCAGTCCCCGGTCATCCCCGGTACTGTGTCCGCAGTCCCCGTCATCCCTGTACTGTGTCCGCAGTCTCTGGTCATCCTGTACTGTGTCCGCAGTCTCTGGTCATCCTGTACTGTGTCCGCAGTCTCTGGTCATCCTGTACTGTGTCCGCAGTCTCTGGTCATCCTGTACTGTGTCCGCAGTCTCTGGTCATCCTGTACTGTGTCCGCAGTCTCTGGTCATCTGTACTGTGTCCGCAGTCCATTGGTTCAGAATATTTTTTTTCTTGTTTTTCGCCTCTAAAACCTAGGTGCGTCTTATGGTCAGGTGCATCTTATGGAGCAAAAAATACGGTAGGTGGCACCAACTTTTTTTATTAATTACACCTGAAAGAACTTTTAAGAAACACACTGAACCTGATCTCTTGTTTATGTACATTAAAGACTTTATAGTGAAAATACTGTATTCTTTGAGTGGATTCATTTTTTTCCTCTCTCTTTTGTAAAACATTCAAAAAGCACAAAAAAAAAAAACCTTAAAAATGCAAAGTTCTTTCAAGATCAAGTCCGTATTATTTTGATAGTGTCGTGGGGCCCTTAAGCCAGTGCCTACGGTAATCCAACACTGAGCGATGTCTATCTAAAGCGGTCCATAGATGGGTAGAATTTCTAACAAAAAGTAAAAGAGGAACTAGAAAGTTTTAGTCAATGTTAGTCTTGGACTGCAGGGACGAAAAAAAATTAGAAGCAAGAGGGAACATCTCTCAAACCAACCAATTTCTAGCAGAGATTGTGGGTTTCATTTGGTAAAGTCCATTCAGTCAGGAGGGGAAAAAAAAAAAAAAAAAAAAAGCAGATGTTCGAGGCCAATTAAATCTTTCAATTAGTGTTCTGGAGAACTTTCATTAGAGAAAATGGGGAAAAGTTAAAGTTTTAATTAGGGCAAAAGTAACTTTAGGCACTGGAGGTTCTGCCGTTGCCAACCTGAAAAACATTTATTGGCTATATAAATAATAATAAAATGGTTAAATAGATCTAGCCATTTCTATCTATATACTATAGATCCCCTATTGAAAGTGTTGGCATGGCAGCCAAGCAACTTGCACTTAAAGGATTGCAGTAGCGGCCATTAGTTTTCTGATAAATCCTTTAAGTTCGGGAGATCTTTTTCATCCCACGTTCTTCTATACCAGGGGTGTCCAAACTTTTTTCAAAGAGGGCCAGATTTCATGAAGTTAACATGTGTGAGGGCTGGCCATTTTGCAGCAAAAAAAAAAAAAAAAAAAAAAAAAAAAAAAAAAAAAGTGAAATTACTCTCAATGATTTCCTTCAATGCCTGAGAAGGGAGCGCACCTTTTGCCTTTCATCGGCCTCACGCATGCTCCAAAATGAGTCACATTGTATGCTGGACATTCCACGTCATCATGCCGATGTTGTGCTCCAGGGTGGACTCCGGACGCCATCTATGGATCTCGCACATGCCGGCCGGCTCCCTGTGAACATCCTGAGTCACATATGCCTAAGCCTTTTGTTTTCTTTCATCAGGTGTTTCTCATTATGTTCCTCAATAAATGTACCACATATTGCACTTATGCAGGCCATAGACTGTTTATTCTTTCGGACGGAAAAAAAAAAAAAAAAAAAAAAAACACGATCAACAATCAGCCGATTTTCACACTGTTAGTGGGGCAATGGTATCGGCAGATTTTCGCAGTTCCTCATTTCTTTTATCGGTCATGCTGAAAATTTGTGAAAAACAGCCGATTTTTGCAATCATTGGTGGCAACAGTTAGAGGCGCTTTTCTCTATTTTAGATATTGCTAAAGTACCTGTGGGGCCGTATTAAACCGGAACAGGGACCGCAATTGGCCCGCGGGCTGGACTTTGGCCATGCCTGTTCTATCCAAAAAAATTCAGCAAACACAACACTAGTGCTGGGAACTGTCCCGACACATGGCATATTCAGTCATTCGCTTACCCGGACAGTAAAGTTTTCTGCCACCATATCAGTTGTGTCGATCCCATACTGTATTTTTCCCTCAGAGTCAGTCTTCACGGTCTGAATAGGATTCTGATCGACCTCAATATCAACATCTCCATTAACAATTGGGTTGTTTTGCTCATCGCTTAGCTTTGCCTGAACACAAACAGGATGACACTTAGAACTGAAAACATATGAAGCCATATATCACAATTCAGAACAAAGTTTCTGAATTGACGAGAAAAAAAAAAAAAAAAAAAAAAAAAAAAAATTGAGTATGGTCTATGTCACTATTTGCATTAAAATATGAATTTTCAGGACAAGCTTTTTTGGAATGTACCACCCTCAAAAAGGTTCAAAACTGTATCAATACACAGTTTTAGCAGAATGTTAAAGCAGATTATCCCCCCCTTTGCATTGTATTATATTAAGACAGTCTATTTCAAAATGAGCTCCCAATGCACAAGAACGCAAAAAAAAAAAAAAAAAAAAAAAGGAATAAAAAAGGGCAGCATTTGTCATTGCAGTGCACCACACTGCAAGATCGTGCATTACCATACAGTGTGGTGCACTGTGACACGTGTGTTCGAAAAGTAATAGAGTGGACTGCATAGAGAAAATTTGTGTTACAACCCTTGGAGTAGTTGTGTCCCTTGTATTTTTTCTGTATTACGGCTACAATCTTTCAAAATTCGCCAAAAACGGTGACAATTCACAGCAATTTCCTTATTTTTGCTGGGAAAAAAAAAAAAAAAAAAAAAAAAAAAAAAAAAAACTCATTTAAATCTCTCTAGATTTGAACACAAGCAGCAGTGCCCACATAAAGATCCTGTACAAGGATAAAGTAATTTGATTGCCAATCTTTGAAAAATTGGGCGTTTCCAGCAACACCCACACTAAAATGTCAGGATTGAGGTTTTAGGATCCTCTGCAGAGTCATGTAAGATTTACTCACCACAAGATGATAATTAATACCCCGTTTGTAGTACTGGTTCATGGAGTCATAGTCAAAGTTGAGCCTAGCTGGTTGGGTTGTGATCCATACATAATGGGAATTTTTGGTTTGGATTCCTATGACATAAGAAAAAAAAAAAAAAAAAAAAAAAAATTAGATCCTGTATGGGGGAGGGGGGGGAATAAAAAAAAAAAAAAAAAAAAAAATCCACACAGCAAGACGCTTCTGTGAATATTTATGTGATAGTTACCAGTTTCAGCTTCAGTCACTACAATGTCCATTTGCATGGACATGCCGGTCAGTCCCACAAATTGTCCAGACAAATCAATGGAACCCTTGTAAGTACCATCAGAACCAAGCTGTGGGGGAAAAAAAAAAAAAAAAAAAAAAAATTATATGTACAGTACAGATCTAACACCACCCTTTAAGGAAAGTCTCAAAAAGGATGACAAAGCTTGTTCAGAGTAACACATAATGATAGAGGCACCCTCTTTTGCACATATTGCCACTTTGGCCTTTCAGGCCCCTTGCATCAAGATGGGCCAGACTTCTGATATTTCCATAGAGCGCCTCTATAGGCACAGCAGTTTGACATTTCAGATTTAACCCATACTCCGCACCATTTGAAGTATTCTCTCTACACCTATTTAACAAACCTATCCAACCTGACCCCCAATAGTGCGCCATCAAAGCCGACAAGGAACCTGTCTCTCGCTTTGTCACAACGGCCACGAAACACTATCGCCAGATTCTGGAAGACACTGTACGATTGCCACTAAAAATGGAGTGACCCAGGCGATGGTCTATGCTGAACTGGAGGCAACCCTCCAGGATAAGGTGCCATAGTATACAAGAATTTGGCAACCCTGAAAGTATTTACTTCCAAAACTTTAACTCTACTAGAACCTTGTCCCATCTTGTCCCCATCTTCCCCCCCCCCCCCCCCGATTCACCCTTCATGAGAAGGCCCTTAGAACCTTTCCCTGCTTTCACCCTTTTCCTCATTCAGTTACCAGTAGATTAGCTGGCTCTATCTTGAACCCAGAGCTCTGGCTGGGAGGAGCCAGCTAGACGCAGCTTGGAATGTTTCACATGACTGTCATATGCCTTTAAGTGTTGTGTATTTTGTCTCTGCTCCTCCCTTTCCTCTGGTTTAGTTCATGCTGTATAGATCGCTCTACCCCTTTGTTAATTTCCCAGTAATGCACTTCAGCTTCAAGCCTCATGTCATGAAGCAGATCCCATTATGGTCTTTTGACCCATCCGATGTTCATTGTTGTGAAGTTTATTCCATAAACTGAGAGAATCTTACAAGATCTACAAGGTGTCGTCTGAATCGAGTCACTGCCTGCGTTATTCAACCAAGATTGGAGTTATTGCCATCTCATCGCAACTGTAAGTTAGAGAACACACTTTCAATGCGTAGATTGGAGAGACAGAACACTGCTGGCTTCTCCAAACTTTCCTTCTATTGAATTTTTGGGTTGTCACCATCTCCTTCATATACGCTACTGCATCTTCATGTACTACACACAGTACTGCATCTTCATGTACTACACACAGTAAAGCTCTACCCACTTAACCACTTCCTGACCGACACATATAAACGGCCGGACGGTGGCAGTGCAGAGTCGGGTGGCACGCAGCACCACGATCCGGTGCCCGCTGTGTCCTCCGGACACAGTGAAACACCGATTGTCGGACGGGACCTCTGTACGAGGTCCCGATCATGTGATCACTGATTGGCCAATCAGTGATCACATGCAAAGTAGTAAGCAAGATGTCACTTGTGACATCATTGCTTACTACGTGTGAAATCTGTGAATGATCACAGAGGTCACATGGTACAAGGCTATTCACAACAGCCTTGTACCATGTGACAAGCTGTGACCAATCAGCTCACTCAGTACTTCTCAATGAGTGCAAGAATGCACACAGAGAAAGAGAAATGTTTGCCTTTACATCCTATATGGGTGTAAAAGCAATCAGTGTAAAAAAAAAAAAAAAAAAAAAAAATCTTCATCACCCCCCACAAGTAGTACAGTGTCACCATGGTGACACTGTACTGCTAGGGTGACAGTATATAAAAAAAAAAATGTAAAAAATAGTTTAAAAATTATAATTTTTGGTTATAATCCAATTTGGATTTTTTTTTTTTTTTTTACTAAAAAGATAACAGAATAAATTTTGGCAAAGATTTGTGATGAAATATTTGCTAAATTTTATTTATATATATATATATATATAAAAAAATTCTTGGACTTTCATTTACATAGCAAAAAAAAAAAAAATAAAAATCCCAGCGGTGAATAAATGCCACCAGAATAAAGCTCTCTGTCAAAAAAAATAAATAAATTTGGGTACAGTGTTGCATGACCGCGCAATTGTCATTCAAAGTGTGATAGCGCTGAAAGCTGAAAATTGCCCTGGTCAGGAAGGGGGTAAAAGTGTCCGGTCTGGAAGTGGTTGGGGGGGGGGGGGAAAAAAAAAAAAAAAAAAAAAAAAAAAAGGAGTGCAGCCAAAGCTCTTTTGGCTGTACTTCTCCTATGGATCACAGGAGTGCAGTTCATTCTGCACTCCTGTGACCCATAGTCAAAGCCAGAGTTTTCTATGAAATGATTGACCAGGAGCAGCAATAAGAGGGTTTAAATGAGCCACAGTGAAGGTCAAAATGCACATCATATGTAGGGTTTACTCACCTGTCCTGTGAGGTTGGAGCAGAGGGGTCCTGTCTCTTTGAAGCAGTTCTGGCGTCTGCCATAAAAACCAGGCTGTTTACAATAAAGCACAGCGACTGTGCCGGGCACTGGTTCACCATAGGTGTACCTGAAAGAAAGAAAACAGCAGTCAAGAGACATTGCTATCAGTTCTTTACTGACAATTCTAGGTATCTGTAGGCATTTTTGGTCTTATGGGTTTGGTCCAATAGTGAACATGGCAGGCTGAGTGCCCCTTTGCCAAGATGGGTTAAGGACTCACTCAACATTGTTGCTCCATATAGGTTTTTATCTTGCTGTGGTGCCATGCTATCAGATCCTTCATCTGATGTGGATTTATAGCAAGAGCCCCATTTTGCCTTGAAAACCTTTAGGAGGTTTTATGTCAAAAACAGACAAGACAGCAATTTATTTCAAGTGGCACTGGCAAGGACGGAACATAAAAGGGCTGAATTATATACCATTTGAATAGAAATGTTTTGTCCTGATAAAAGAATCTAATAAGTAAATGTTTTGCCTAAACTGACCCAACAATTACATAGAGCCGTCAGTACCCAAGGCCAACCTGTCACACTTAAAGCAGAACTATAGGCAACCCCCCCCCCCCCCCCCCCCCCCCCATTTTGGATAGAGCAAGGGGGGGGTGTTTATAACCCTCAGATTTTTTTTTTTTTAGGTCATCTGTGTTCTGTTCCATAGCAAAACAAGTATGAGGAAATCCCTGCAAATTAAAAAAGGGATTTCCTTGGGGACCCCTTGTCCCCATTGGAAGATTTCCCCTTTTATTACTCTTCTGGGGACAACTCAAAATTTTGGATTTTCCTTTACTTTCAAATTATGGTAAACAGGACAAAATAGAGAGGGTGGATCTCCCTAACCGGGGCACAGAAAGGAGGGGACCCCCCCCCCCCCCCCCACACACATTCTGATCCCTCTCCAGTGTCAAAAACTTAGGTTTTTTTTTTTAGGGCTCATGTACACTGAAGCCGATAAACTGTTTAGGAACTTTTCTGCATTTCTTCAGCAGCCCCTGAACTCTCCCTAATGTTTTCCTATATGTCCATGTATACATCATTTACAGGCAGTTGAGTTTACAGTTTTTTTGAACACAGAAAACTTGTGTTCAGCAGTAGATTTTATCAGCGTTTCAAATACAAAATGCAGCTAAACGAGTTTATGGCCGTTTGCAACTTTTTTTTTTTTTTTTTTTTTAACTCATCCATTTCCAGATGCTGTCCAGAGCCTCTTTTCATCATGAAAAATGCATGCAAAGCATTTTCCCCAGTACTCAAATGGACCTAGCACACCATATTTTTGAGGTTTCGCATGATGAATAATAAAAAAAAAAAAAAAAAAAAAAAAAAGGGAGGAGGAGCAGCTACCGGTCCTGCTGATGGGTTAAGGACCTTCTACAGCCCTGTCCAGCAATCCTAGAGTAACTGCCTGTCTCCTGGAATCTCCTTCATATTCTTGAGACTGTACTGGGAGACTCCAAACCTTCTGGCAATGACACGTATTGATGTGCCATCCTGGAGGATTTGGACTGCCTGTGCAACCTCTGTAGGGTTGAAGCATCACCTTTTGCATTTGGCTAGGGTCAGTGTCATTACTGGTAGCAGAACTAGTGAAAAAACAGTCAGAAAAGATGAGTAGGGGGGGGACCCTGTAAAACCATTCAAGTTTTGGGGGTTGTCTCATTGTTGCCCATCTAGTACACCTGTTAAATTTCATTAACATTAAAGTATTGTTATAGCCTTTGTGCCTACTAAAATATATTTCAATTAAAATTTTTGTGAATGGAGTTAAAACTTTACATGCTTTATAATAGATTACTTACGATGCAGAGACTTTTAAGTCCAAACTCTTTTGCAATATAGAGACTGTATCTGGGGCCTCAACTTTAACATCGAACCTGGGTTTCACTGAAAGGCACATGCACAAACATTTTTACCAGCACAAAGAAACACAAATTATATTCAGTATTTGATTTCTCAGATTTCAAATATATCTAAAGCCAAAACCTAGTATTGGATGGACTAGGTAACTGTTCTAGGATTACCCAATGGAATGGCTATATTAGGTCAATGATGTCATGGGCTTCCCCACCCCCATGTGTACGTGCCACTGCAGAGCTTGAAGTAGCCCTCCTGCAGCTTATTGTCTGGAACGAATAACGACGACTTCCAGATACTGTTGATCGGCGTGGACCAAACTCAGAGCAAAACCCAAGCTCACCCCTAGTGGAGACATTAGAACTGGGGAAGCTACTTGGAAGGTCAGTTAAATTTAAAAAAAAAAAAAAAAAAAAAAAACCCACACCCCTTTCGTGAACATGCCCCAATATTAAAACTGCAGCTACTTTGAGTAGCAGCAACATTTCTTCAACATTACAGAATAATGTCAGCTGATTAGAGCCAACTACTGCTAGCTAAACCATGACCTGTATGATGGCCTAGAGCCTTCAGACTTGCTGTAGAGCACGTTGCCTGCTGGACGAATCTAGTCCACCAGACCATTTCATGTGGCCCTCGCACCTCTCCTGCAGTGGTGCACCCTTTCGTATCCACCCCCACCTTGTCTCAGCAGTAGAGAATAGAACAGAACACCTCCTACACTTCTCCATGCAGCCGCAGAGAGGCTGTTCTCTGCCTCCAACCCCTCCCCCATCTCAAGAATCGGCAACAGAAAAAAAACTCCTCCTACAGAGCCTGCATCTCTGTGCAGCCGCAGAACCCTCTCCCTTGGTCTCGGCATTCAGCAGACTCTAGCCCTCCTCCAAATCCTTTACTTTCCAGCTCCGCCCTCAGATTCTTCTGGCGGCAGCACAAGGTAGGGGGGGGGGGGGGGGGGGGGGGGCGCACCATGATATAAAAAAAGGAGGGTGGGGAACTCCTGGCTTCTGATGGTGGGGGCTCTTGACATCTAGTCTTACAGATCCCTTGAAGATAAAGTATAAATGCTGATGCAGCCTCTAGAGCAGGGGTCTCCAAACTATGGCCCTAGCTGGTGAAGTACTATAAGTCCCATCATGCCTCTGGGAGTCTTCCCTGTGGCTGTCGAACTGCAAGTCCCATGAGGCCTTGCAAGACTAACAACTGGAGGACCATAGTTTGGATCACTTCAGATCAAGGTCTCCACACAGGGGACTGTCATGAATTATATGGTAGTTACTGTATTATTCCATTGTAAACCATTGTGACCATGAATACCTGGATTCTCTCTCGTAGAAACTGGTTGGGACACTTGCAATGGATGGGAATTTCACACACTAAAGTTTTAAAGCAGCTTCTGTAGAAACATCTGAGGAGACTTAATCCGCTCACAGCCACTACTAACACCTCCAGATCATGGCAGTCACCTCAAAAAGGTTTGTCAGTTGCCCTCCTGAAATGGACTAAGGGGAACCTGAAGCTTGCTGCTCTCTCTTCACAAGTACAGACCCAAAGACACAGAGGCCAGGATCCCACCAGAAATTGTAAAAGACCCACATAGGCAAATGTGTCATAAATTGTACAATAGTTACCATATTCTTCCACTGTAATATATTGTGACAAGGAATAACTGGATTTTCGCTCAGCAATAAAGCTGTAGGAACCAGGAGGAGCATCTTTGATCAACTTGAACTCCAATGACAACACCCCACGCTGCGTTTCTTGCTGAGACCATTGCTTGATCCTGGTCCTTGAAGGATCCTAAAGCAGAAGGTAATGTTAAGATTAGGAAAAGCCAGAGACTTTACTTTTTTATGCAGTGATGTAGGTTGTATGAACTCTAGAATGCTCCAGTATACATTATGTATATGAGCAACTGGCCAAATTATTAGTGAGCAATTTTATAATGGCTTGTGTCACTTTTGTACAGAAGATACCCAGCAAAGGTGCTGAGGCAACTAATACACATAGCCAAAGGCCAATGACATACTAGTCAAGCAAGTAAGGGAGGACAGCCCTTGAACGTAAAAAGCCAATAGCAGCTCCCATATACCTATCCTGAGTTCCTGACAAGTTGCCTTTTAAAAGGATCACCAACAACCATATTCAAATTCCCTTAGGAAGAAGTCGGAAGTGACGAAACGCGTCAGTGTCGTGACGTCAGACGCAATACCGGAAGGAGCGGCGTGGCCATCTTTTGTTCTGATTTTGGCTGTGTTTATACTGGAAGAAGGACGGTTCCTTTGTCTAATGTAAGATGCTAATAAAATGTATGTATTGCCTTTATATACTACACTGAGTTATCCTTTCTACCTTACGAGGAACAGAAGAGATTGAAAGCGGATACATCTACAGGGAGGAAGGGAATATTACCTTGAAGTACAGGTTCCTTTGGAACCCCCTGGACCAAAGTTGTATATGAGTCTTCAGCTTCTGCCAAAGTAGAGTTTGTACTGTATGTAAGGCTATTTTTTTTTTTTTTTTAAATAAAATATAAAGAGTAGGCAAGGGTTAGAACCCCATTCTGTCACGGTTTGATAGTTTTACTTAATTCGTCCTCCTGAGTAATATTATTGTGATAGAAATCAATAATTATAGTTCTCACTGGGGTTGGTAATGTGGAAAAAACTCTTCCAACAGCGACATCGAAGAGCAGGTTCTCCTGACTTTGCAAAGATTTTTTCTTACGTTGCCTCTTGAGGATGGGAAGTTTAGGCTATAAAACACACCTGAATTGTCATTCTCTCCAGCGCCACTCCCTGCTCCTCTGTCATTCAGCTACAAAGTTAAATGACATGGGCTTAAAGCTGTATTCCAGGTATGGAAATATTGCATAGTTACAGTTTGGACCAATGCAAACGCCATACCTGTTGGACCAATATGGAAGCCGACAGCCACTGTAGTAGTTGCCGCTGCTACAGAGATCACCTGTCTTCTGAATTGCCGAGTGGTGTCATTTACAGAATGCTTTGTATTTTTCTCTATGAATGGAAAGCATGGGGAAGTGGTACAGCGACATTACAATCGCCACCTCATCCAGAAGAACACTTGACTTTGGGAGAAGTCAAAAGGGAAGAGTTTTTGGCCCATAGTGACCCAACTCCAGCTGACAGTTTCTCAACTGCATCAAACTAAAGAGCAGTTGCAATATGGTTTCCGTGGGCAACTTTTTTCTTCCTGTGCTGTAAGCAATGCAATCGGGAAAGATTTTTAAAAAGGCTACATTTCTTACCTGCAGGTAAATCATGGGGAACTGAAAAGAAAAAAAATAAATAAATAATTTGTAGGTATAGCTATAACAAACTGCATTAAAAAGTTAAATATATTGTTGGGATATAGCAATACAATCATATTGAAGTTTCATAAAATTGGCTTTGAAGTTTGGATTGTCTTCTAGGACTAAAAAGGGCTTCAATCCTATTACAGAAGGATGAACACATTATTAGTTTCCTGATAAAAGTACATATTGGGGGGGTTATTTTCCAAGGCCGAAGAGTGCAAAATCTAGTGCAACTCTGCAGAGAAACCAATTGGCTTCCAAATTTTATTGAACAAGTTGAAGTTAGAAGCGGATTGGCTACTATAAACCACATTCTGGGTGCACCAGTTTTAGTTAAACTTCCCTCCCTCCAGTATGTTGTCCCATCTTCCTGGGTGCTCTTATTATCTGTGATCAAGGACAGGGTACCCCCTTGGCATATGGCCACCCGACACCACAGCTAGCAAGGAGATGGCTGCTTGGATAGCAAGCGTCTGTGCCCAGCGAAATGCAGAGGAAGTGAGGCGTATCAACTTCCCATCCCTCTGCATTGCTTTGTGCCTCAGGTAATTGCCGAGAGCCATAGACAGGCACTACAAAAGCAGAGCAGCCAACTCTTTGCTAGCAGTGGTGTCAGGCAATTGTGCACCAAGGAGGCGACAACCTGTCGTACATCAGAGCTGATGTTGAAGGATACCTGGGATCACGGCACAATAAACTACATGTCCCATCAGGAACTCAATAGTGATAGTTCTTTCAATCCTCGACTGACCTTACTGTAAAGTCCCTACAAACATTTGTTCATTTGAACACGGACAGAAAACCTGTGCATTTCCCCATGCAGGGCAGAATTTCAGAAAAAAAAAAGTTTCCAGATTAGTCACTCACCTTTTCATTCACAGGCATAAGCCGAGAGTCGAGGCAGACAATCCGACAAAATACTGCAAGAAGAATGAACAAAATTTATACATATTTACCAGCAAAAGTGCACCCATTCCAACAACCAAGGTTGAGGTGGTAAGATCATGTGTGGGGACTGCAGGCATTAGTGGTGCTAGAGAAGGATGAGGCTCAGGGAATTGTACCTCAAGGGGGGGGGGGGGGGGGGGGGGGGGGGGGGTACATCCTGTGAGCATTGAATGAAAGCAGCAAGGGCATGAGTGAAAGCTAGTGGAGGGAAAGCATGCACACACTTGTTAAGAAAAAGGGGATAGGCATGGCACTAAGGGAAGTGGTGCAGCCATGGTAGTGAAAGGGGGTGATGGTATACAGGTGCAGGGTTAAGGGGGGGGGGGGGGTGCTGTGCTGGTGCAAACGTGTTAGTAAGAATGGAATAAAGTGGGCATAGGCACATTGGTGAGAGAGGAGGGTTAGATGTAGTGTGTCAGGTAATCTAGGCTCAGCAGGGCTAATGGTGGCATGGCAGGTACGTCAGAGCAATTTTGTTTCAAGCCAAGGTACCATAATTCCTGTCCCAGCATCAGCCAGAGCCCATGAGGCTCCCCCAGGCACTCCCCGAGCCTGCTTGCAATAATAGGGCTCCACATACTGATCTTTTAAAGCAGCTTCCAGAAGATCAGATCTGAGGAGAACACAGACATCTCCAGCTTGCCATTGTCACCTATGGCATTCCGAACTGTCCTTTTGGGATCAGCCAAGGGGAACCTGCAGCAACTGGTTCCTCCAGGGGAGTAGGGTCCAAGGTAAGCATTTTTTTTTCTTCTTCCTAATGCTACTTTTTTGCACCATATTTTTATTTGGAGGATGAGAATGGCCTCAAAGAAAAGCAGGGCTTGCATAAAATCTCCACAAAAAAAAAAAAAAAAAAAAAATCCCTTGTAGCAAATTGGATTCCCCACTGCGAGGACCTACCCTAGGTAATGCATGGTTTGTTCCTGGTTTGGTGCTCTGTAAGGAATGCTTGCACAAGGCCCAGCTTTATAGAAATCAAGGTGCCCATTTTTAGAGAGTCAACTCACTATGATGGCCCAGCCTGTGAAACTGTCAGATAACCAATTGTAAGCTCACCGCTGTTGCCCGGCTGGTAAATGGGTTTGTCCATCTGGAAGATGCAGTTGGTTTTGGAGGGTTTAACGACTACGGTCCTACGCTCCAGGATTTTGGTCTCCTGCCCTGCTGCAGAAAGCAGTAGAGTTACTGGTACAGCGTCGGGTACATCTGGTATCTGGAGGACAAAAAGAAAAAAAAAAAAAAAAAAAAAATGTTTTCCCCTTTCACAAGAGTTCAACTAAGGTCCCAACTTGCTGCTTATAAAAGAAGTGTTACAATTCTTCATGAAGCAGAACCCTTACTTCCGCAGTAGGTTTATTTAGAACATATGACAATACATCCAGTTGCAGCGGATAAAGGGTGTGGTATTGACAAAAGCTTATGTAGGGACAGACACCATTTGAATGGTTCTTACATGCGAGGAAAGAAAATTCATTACAAATAAAAGATGCTGTAAAAAGGGACCGTGCTCCATGGCAATTATTAACAATGGGCCCCGAGATACCTTTTAAGCTGTAGATTGCACAAGTTCACCTTTCCACCAAAAAATGAACATTTTAATTCAGAAAAAAAATTAAAAAATATGCGATTATGTTTTGTGTTAGGAGCCTATAAAGCACTGCGCCAGCGATCAGCAGATCACGAATGCCATGCAGGTCTTCTGTGCACTGTATCCGCTTGCTGGTACATACCATATGGGCAAGCCAATACTTTCCGAGAGGAAGAATCAACGAACTACCAGGAAGCTCCACAGTTCATTGAGAACTACAATCTGACAGCAGCTAAGGCTTTCAGGACTTTTAGTCCATTCATTCACAGAACTCCGTATGGGTGGAGCCACACACGGCCGCACTGCTTTTGAAGTGACAGTACAGGGAACTCATTGTGTCACGGGGGGGCAGCGGTTGCAGGATCCAGAACAGGTTGAATGTTCCACTCAATTTTTTTTTTTTTTTTTTCTTAGTTCATTTTTAAAGAAGTTCACCGTTTTGGGAAAACGTTCTAGGATGGATAGTGATAGATATAGATCCTAGAATGTTTCCCAAAAAGGTGAACTTCTAAAAGTAACTAAAAAATTAAAATAAATAAAAATTTATATTTATATATTTTATTTTTTTTTATTTCATTTTTAAAGAAGCTCACCTTTTTGGGAAACGTTCTAGGTTCATATATATATATATATATATATATATATATATATATATATATATATATATATATATATATATATATATATATATCTCTCCATCCATCCTAGAACGTTTTCCCAAAAAGGTGAACTTCTTTAAAAATGAACTAAAAAAAAATAAATAAAAATGTTTTAAAAAAAAAAAAAACCATGGGACAAATGGAATGGTTTGCTCATTGAAGCAGTGACTCCCTAACCACACCTTTTAATCATAGTATATGGTGTCAACACCCCAATTTTAATTGCCTTAGCACCTGCAACTGCTAAGCAACGATAAAAGTTCATAATGTGTGTGAAGAAACTCTGATGAGGAGTTATTAAAATTTGTGGGTTTTTTTTTAATGAGTTATGCTTACAAACCTTGGAAACCAGTATCAAATATCTGCAAGTACAATAAAGGGAAACCACCAAGAGTTGCCACCTCATCCCTTTAAAACCGAACACATTCATTGCACAGGTTCTAAGGCTCGTTAAAGGTGGTAATTAAACTCACTTAGGTTTGACTTAATAATAATAATAATAATAATAATAATAATATTATTATGGTTTTTGGTAAATCTAAAACAAAAATCTCAAAATTGTATAATGTATGGCCAGCCTAACACTCTCAATTGTATCCAATTAGGCTCTTGCACTACATAGTTGAAGGTAAATCTAAATGGAAATTGGGAAGGTAAATCTAATGGAAATTGGGCAGAAAAATCGTATAGTGTATGGCCAGCCTTATCTGCATGAAATCAGCCTTGGAACATGTGTCATTAAGATGTGTTCAATTTTAAGGGGATGAGGTGGCAACCCTAACCAAGAGTAGACTGTCTGCAGTCAATTAGACCTGAAGGTAGGACTTTGCTCACTTTTGGATCTGGCCGACTTGCACATGTCGAGCTCAAACTAAAATGGTTTGTAAACCGATCGAAGTGACTGGCCTCAGGTGAGAGACAAATGAAACAAACCCTCCTAGATACAGTAAGCTGTACCCGTTTATCTGCAGTCATCACTGCATCTGTTCAAAGTGCTGAATTCATAAAGCGCTTTGAATTCAGGGGGCCAAGAGCTGAAATTACACACTGCAGAGCTCAGGGACTAGAGTTCTGTGAGGCGATTGGAGGGAAGATACACCCCCCTCCCTCCACACAGCTCACAGAAGCAGAGCTGAGGCTGTCAATCTGCTGGAGGTTCCTCCCGTCAAAGTTTCTCCTGTTAGGAAAACTTGTCAGAATGGATTCATGCTGATTGAGGAATGAAGCAGCGGACAGAAAAAACACTTAGTGTTCTTAATTGCGACAAGCAAACACTGTAGAGGGATGTGCTTTGTTCATATTTCATGTCTGAGATATGCAAGCACTTTAAAAAGCTTGATTGCTGGAGCTTACCACCCTCTGCCAACAAGTAGCTGTTGTGTTGGGCACTACTGAATGGGATTGACTGTTATATGGTCCCATGGATCATATGCTGTGCGGAGGAGAATAGGGATTACTCCGTTATAAAATGGTTCTTGTTGACACTTTTCAGAATGTGGCACCATTCCTTTCAAGAAATGGACAACATATACTGACAGTAAATCTGGCCATAGATAGACCGGTTCAGCAGGGACTGGCCGAATGTCAATCCATTTATGGCCATTCCTGCTCAACAGAAGTTGATCTAAATCATTGGTTTCTGTCAATGTTGGGGAAAAAAAAAAAAAAAAAAAAAAAAAAAAAAAAAAAAAAAAAAACTTCTCGAACAGCCTGCCGCAGCCAATTGACTGCACCCGCTGATCAGTGTATTCTGACAATGGAGGAGTGCTTCTGGCAGAATACAGAGGGGAGGATTCCTCTATCCATCTCACTTGTGTGGATGGGGAAAATCTGTAATAAATAAAAAAAAAAAATATACATCTGAAAAAAGAACCCCCCCCACACACACACAAAAAACACCCATCTATGGCCAGCCTTTGTCAGGTACATGGCGATCTGCACTGGGTGTTAAATAGCAAGTTAATGACACCCCAAATGTAATGCAGGTTCCCACACCACATTCTGGTAAACAGGCCCTAGTAATCCAAGCTACTAAGAACCCATTCACAACAGAATGGCGCGGTGTGGGTAAACACTGCAGTTGCAATCTGGAGTGTCATTAACCCAATATTGACACCCACTGCAAACACGTTGCAAATGCAGTGGGTGCATGCACTACTTTTGGTGCAATTTCAGCCCATTCAAATGAACGGACTAAAAAAAAAAAAAAAAAAAAAAAAAAAAAAAAAGAGAAGGAAGAAGGGAGGAGAGGGAGAGTGGCTGCCAGGGGCTGACTGACCATTTGGAAACTCGGGCACTGCCTGAGGGCCTGGGGTCAGTAAGGGGCCCCATGAGATGCCCCTGGTACCTTTTTCATAGGCTTTTTTGCGTTTGGGCAAGGAAACAGGGGCCACATGATCCCCTATTGCCCGGGGGCCCCCCCATGAGTTGTCAGTCCGCCCCTGGTGGCTGCATTACTTTAATGGACAATTGAGCGGTCATGCAACGCTGCACCCAAATGAGATCACACCACACAGAACTCCATGTGAACAGAGCACATTCCTATGCCATTCCCAGTGTAAACCAGCCGTAAGCCTGAGTTTACACTACAGATTGCATATGAATCGCACAGGAACACTCACTGCATTCCTGCGCAATTTATTGCAGTGCGATTGCTCCCCATTCATTTTGAATGGGCTCAAATCACACTAAAAGTAGTGCATGCACCAGTTTTTGGACACGCACGGCAAGCAGATTGCATGGTAGTTTTGTTCTGTGCAACCTGGTGCACCCAAGCAACCTGTATTTGGGGTGTCGTTAACATGGCATTGACACCCACTGCAGATTGCATGGGTGCAGGAAACCCACAAGGATTACAGGGGCTAGGAAACTGGTCTACCATGTTGGTGGAGATTTGATGGAGTACCAATAGTGCTGCCATATAAAAAAAAGGAAACTTACAAGTCTGCAGTTGAGATCTTACCTTGTAGTCAACACACTGGAAGTATGTAGGAGAAGAGACATTTTCTTCAATTATGGTTGTGTTCTGTCCATCATATTGCAGTTTCAAACTTAAATCCAATTTCTCTTCATTGCCCACAAAGTTCACACAGACCCTTCCGGTCTGGCCACCGTTCAAGGAGGCTGGTGTGCTCAGGACATATTGGCTATAAAAACACAAAGGGAATGAGATATATTTTAGTAAGAACAATGTTCCACTGCCACAGGGGTTATGGCTAACAAAAATAAATAAATAAATTAGAACTTGTATTGAAGTCAAAAAATACACCAAGCATCAAATAGCATAACATTTCTGGAGTTTTTAATGAACCTTCCTCATATCTGTACAAGGAATGATCGATGCTCAGGTCTATCTTTGACCCTGAGAGCAAGGGGAATCATACATGAAATCTTTTATACAAATAAGAACTTTTTTTGTGTGTGGTGTGAAATGAATGAGGGTTTTGTGTGCATTTTGACTGGTTAAGCACTTGCCCTCCAGACCAGGCCCTTTTTTTTGCTGCATTACTTTGACAATTGCGCGGTCATGCAATGCTGCACCCAAGTGAAATTCACGTCGCCCCAATAGAGTTTGCCACCAACATCCCCAGTGACACCAATGCAGTGATCAGTGCTAATACAAAGCACTGACACTGTACTAATGGCACTTGGCAGAAAGGGGTTAACTTTTAGGCAAAGGATTAACTGTGCCTTTTACTGGCTAGACATGCTGCTTTGTATTTCTCTGCTGGGCAGTTAGAAAGGTGTTAATAGTTTACATAAGCCCACTAGAGCAACTTTCAGCGCAGACGACTGAACTTCTAAAGCAGTTCCAAACTGCAGCCCTTTGCTTGCCTTGATCTGGCCCTTGAGGTGCCATTCCTTCCACTGACCCCCAATGATGGGGGATGCCATTCCTTCCACTGACTCCCCTCCCAACGATGGGGGTGCCATTTCTACAGAACCCCCCCCCCCCCCCCCGATGAGGGCACCTTTCCTTCCAGAGACCAACAAGGGCGCCATTCCTTCCACTGACTCCAATGATTTCTCCCCCCAATACCTAAGACGGGGCATACTTTTCTCCCACTGGGCACAGTGTGCCCCCCCGCAGGGCTCGATTACACGTGGAGATTTGTCCCTAGCAAGACACCTATAAACAGATCAGCAATCCATATACAACTTACATCACCTACAGAGACGCTTGAGGCATTGTCTCGAGGGCAACCAGAGGCCTTGTGTCCTCTAAGACCAATGTTTAGTTGGGATTAACTCCACTTTAAAGGTCTGTTGGATACAGTGACCCCCTGCTACAACTAACTGAAAAGCCCTCAAGTGCCCTGCAGAAATAGGTGACTGAAACACAGGAGGAGTGTTGCCCCTAGCAACACCTATAAACAATGCTTATTACAGCCTATAGGAGGTTGAGGCCTAGTGTCTATAGCAACCAGAAGCCTTAGCTATAGTAGAGATGTAGCTCAGTAATCCCGGGAAGGTGTGTGAATTGCTGCCGACAGAAAGCTTTCCCTGGAGGCCCAGCTTCCTGAGTAAACATGTGCTGTTGCCCCTAGCAACAGTGAGCTGGTTTCAGTTTTGACAGCAGGGAGGTGTCAGCACATTTACCACCCATTTTTTTTTTTTTTTTACTCTCCATGGCCATTCGGGTGAATGTCAGGTGAAAGCAGAGTTGTTTTGAACCCAATGTACTCAGATGGCAATACCCACTTCCAGCGGTGGACAAGACAGTCTAATGAAATAATGGCTGGGACTGAAATCAGAGAGACAGGCAGTGAAGTGAATGTAAATTGTGTGAGGAGACCCGCCGTGTATCCAGAAAGCCTTCTCTATGTGCAGTGGGGAGATGGAAGTTGGAAGGTGTAATGGCGATAAAAACCTTCTGCGCCATTAACCCTTTCGCTGCCACCATCATGTGGCCTACATCATCACCGGGGTGGGGTTGATTGAACATTGTCCCCCAAATCACTTGTGCAACCCCCCCCCCCCCCAGGACATTCCCACTCTTCACACACCCCGCCATGTTTCCCAGGCCCTCTCATCTATGGACCCTGGACTAGCATGGTGGGTGCCGACAGGTAGAGGGGAGGGAGACTAGAGAACATCAATTCAATGATCTCTACTAATCAGCAAGAGCCCAGAAGGCCAACTCCACCTTTTTGCACCATGTTAAGGTGTAACACGGTACAATGGGCCGCCCCCCACCCACCCAAACAGTAAGTTCTCCACTGCAGCCACCACTTTTTAGTCAATGCAGCCATGCCACAGCAGAAGGATTTGTAGGGCTCAATGGAACACAAGTCTGCTGATCACCACATTTGTAGTTCATGACAGTTCCTCCACTCAGCAAGGGCTCTTTCAGACAGGTGGTAATGTTTACCACCCTCTGAAAAACGATGCAAGGTAGATATCACTCTTCAGAGAGCCAAAGTCAGTTCTTTTGCAGGGAGATCAATAATAGCTTCTTACAATAAGGTCCACAGAGGCTTTGGTATCTAGTATGGCTACCTTTCACCGGTGGGGGGGGGGGGGGGGGGGGTTTCTTTGTATGGTCTGTTAAAATTTTCCTTCAGGCCCTGCAAAGCCACCTGTTTTTGTTTTAGTTCTTATTTTGTACTGTATAAAAAAATACATGTGATTTTTCTCTTTTTTTTTTTTTTTTTTTTAAACGCCTAAGAAAAAAAAAAAATTATTTTCTTCCATTCAAAAAAATGGATGCTAACGGATCCGGACAATAATGCATCCGTTTACATCTACTAGTCCATAGAAATACATGGGTGTCTGTTTTTCATCCGTAAACGGACAGAACACCCATGTGAAAGGGGCCTAAAATTTTCTTTTTTTTTTCTATCCAACAACAATTTTAGGCCCCTTTCACATGGGCGTTCTGTCAGTTTACAGATGAAACAGACACCCATGTATTTCTATGGGCTAGCGGATGTATATGGATGATCTGCTTACATCCGTGAACACCCTAATTTTTTTTTTTTTTTTTTTTTTTTTTGAGAAGAAAAAAAAAGTATGCCCATGCTAAAAACATAGAAGGTGGTGATCTAACAAACCATGCTAAGAAAAATAAATAAAAAGCTTGAGATGTGTAGGGCAGGAATGGAGGATGACAGCGGGCAGTATGCATGGAAGCGCTCAGGGGGCATGACAGCGGGCAGTACGCATGGAAGCGCTCAGGGGGCATGACAGCGGGCAGTACGCATGGAAGCGCTCAGGGGGCATGACAGCGGGCAGTACGCATGGAAGCGCTCAGGGGGCATGACAGCGGGCAGTACGCATGGAAGCGCTCAGGGGGCATGACAGCGGGCAGTACGCATGGAAGCGCTCAGGGGGCATGACAGCGGGCAGTACGCATGGAAGCGCTCAGGGGGCATGACAGCGGGCAGTACGCATGGAAGCGCTCAGGGGGCATGACAGCGCTCAGGGGGCATGACAGGGCAGGCATACGCATGGAAGCGCTCAGGGGCATGACAGCGGGCAGTACGCATGGAAGCGCTCAGGGGGCATGACAGCGGGCAGTACGCATGGAAGCGCTCAGGGGGCATGACAGCGGGCAGTACGCATGGAAGCGCTCAGGGGGCATGACAGCGGGCAGTACGCATGGAAGCGCTCAGGGGGCATGACAGCGGGCAGTACGCATGGAAGCGCTCAGGGGGCATGACAGCGGGCAGTACGCATGGAAGCGCTCAGGGGGCATGACAGCGGGCAGTACGCATGGAAGCGCTCAGGGGGCATGACAGCGGGCAGTACGCATGGAAGCGCTCAGGGGGCATGACAGCGGGCAGTACGCATGGAAGCGCTCAGGGGGCATGACAGCGGGCAGTACGCATGGAAGCGCTCAGGGGGCATGACAGCGGGCAGTACGCATGGAAGCGCTCAGGGGGCATGACAGCGGGCAGTACGCATGGAAGCGCTCAGGGGGCATGACAGCGGGCAGTACGTGAAGGACAGATGTGTGGAGGCAGGAAGCATGTGCAGAAGGTATTACAGAGGACAGCATATACATGAAAGGAGTGCAGAGGGTATGACATGGACATTATGTATAATAGGAGAAAAGTATGGGGGACATGACATGGGGCAGAGGGTAGGACGTACAGAAGAATACTTCTAAGCTGTGTACAACGCCATTGACACAATGTTTTCAATCCAAGTCAGCAGATCTCTACACTGGTATCCAGCCTCAAACTGCAACCCAGCACATTCAATATCATTTAAAAAGAAAAAACAGGACGCAGGTTCCCAGCCATTTCCCTCAAGTAGACAGGCAGGAAAAAAGAAAAAAAAGATGGATGTTGGGAAATTTCAGCCCATCAGTCACAAGAAGTTAGACCTGCAAAACAGGAAGCCTGGGTGGGGAGGCCAACAGCCTGGGCCGGGACCTATAATAACAGGAACAGAATTAGCAAGAACCGCAGGATTAGTGTAATACACCGACAGAGTGCAGGCATCACTGCACAGCATCCATGACAGGTGGATAATAAAAAAACTAATATACACACACACATTGTAATCTATACTGAGAAACGCCAGGATCTACAGTCCTACCATGACAGGTTTACTAAAAGGGCAACAAACTATTTCTGCAACATTTTATATGCAAGTGGCCTTTGTGGGAAGATTTAAAAATCATAAGTGAACCCTCCCCTTGCAAACACATTCATTTTAAAATTAAAAAATAATTTTTTTTTTCCCTAGAAACAAACACTATAAGGCTCTATGCGCAATATGGGTTTTGCACCTAGAAGCTATTAGCATTTTTTCTGCTGCTAGAAGCTAAAGAGTGTTAGCCTATGTGTCTATATACACTACTTTAGGCTATAGTATTTGAAAAAAAAAAAAAAAAAAAAAAAAAAAAAAAAAAAGTGTGAACCTTAAAAAAGGCACCCCATTCTCTGTTAGCTGCATAGAAAGCTAGGGGGGAGGAGAAAGAGCAGCAGACTGAACTTCCTAGTGAATAGGATATGTATGCATGCCCCGAGAGGGAGGGAGAACGCATGTCAGCAGAAGCGAGATCATTGTAGGAGAGCAGCCTGAGCTCCCAGTGTAGCTAGAGAACTGACCAAGCTGTACTCATGCCTAGTGTGGTCAGTTATTAGGAAAGCAGAGGGACTGGCAGGAACACCAGGGATTTAACACACAGAACAGG